TCCGATAGAGCAATTTTCGTGCATAACTTGTTACACATCTCGTTGATGTCAATCAGGCCCATTTTGATTTCCGATAGAGCAATTTTCGTGCATAACTTGTTACACATCTCGATGTCAATCAGGCCCATTTTGATTGACAGAAAAATCGCTAATAAAGCGGGACCCAGAAAAAGGTAAATACTCAGTTGACCGCTGTTGGATCACGGCGGTATGTGACAGACCTGTGTACTTTACTGTCTTATCACATACATTTCTCTCCGGAAAATCAGTACGCTCTAGTAACAAAACTAGGCTGCAGGGAAGACATAACCGTGTGGTGGTTTTAGTTGATATAAATGAAATCCTTGTAAAAGCACAGATAAAGCAAAAATAACAGGCTGTGATTTACATTGTGACAAGTTTCAGAGGGCTGGTCGTGTTAGTCTCCATCTACAAAGACAAGAGGAGTCCTGTGGCACCTTAAAGACTAAGGGTGTGTTTACACTTGCACCCTCTTTTGAGAGAGGGATGCAAATGAAGCCGGGATTTAAGTATCCTGCACTTCATTTGCATATTTGCGGCACGGCGCTATTTCAAAATAACAGCTGCTAAGATGTGGTTATTTTGAGAGAGAACTCTTCTCTCGAAATAACCCTTATTCCTCATACAATAAGGTTTACCAGTTATTTCGAGAGGCGGTTATTTCAAGAGAAAACCCTTGTCTTAACAGCAGCTGTTATTTTGAAATAGCGCCGTGCCGCAAATATGCAAATGAAGCGCAGGATATTTAAATCCCGGCTTCATTTGCCATTTCAAATGTCTTCATTTGCATCCCTCTCTCGAATGAGGGTGCAAGTGTAGACATACCCTAACAGATTTTATTTGGGTCTAAGCATTTGTGGGCATCTGACGAAGTGGGTCTTTGTCCACGAAAACTTATGCCCAAACAAATCTGTTTAAGGTGCCACAGGACGACTCCTTGTTTATACATACGTTGTGTTAAGGGAAATAAATGATTTGTTGTGTTAAGGGAAATAAATGATTTGTGAGTAGGTCGCAAGTTAGTACTCATACGTAGCGCTTGTCAGAAAATGCCTATTCATCCAAGTGGATGTTTTTCCAGAGAACGGTTAGGTTTTGACAAATTTTTTGTTTAAAATAAAAGTAAAATGGAGAGGAGAGAATAAGCCACTTAAAAGTGGTGAAGCATTGTTTGGCAGTTTTGGAATGAAAAATGCCAGGTTTCTGGTGTGAAATCATGCTTTGTGTTATAAGCTAATTATCATAAACATGTATAGAAATGACCCTACAGAGAAATAATATTTGGTTTGTAAACTTTGAGACTTTTGGATTTTCATCTTAACTATGGAGTTGCTCTGTGTGTGTGTGTGTGGGGGGGGGGGGGGGGGGTTATTCCTGCTCCGAGGTGAATTGGTGGTTCTTGCTCAGCTTTCTTGATTTTTTTTTTCCACCTGTTGCATGGAAGGGGCTTGCCACCCCCAACAGCTACTTTGGCCCCACCCTTTGAGGCTCTGACCATGCTGGGTGGTCCATGCAGGAGTAAAAGGGGCTCTTTAGATCCCTCTGTATCTTGTATGGCCCTTGTTCTCCTAGAATTAACACCCTGGAACCTGAGCACTTCCTCTTTAATGGTTTACCCTCACAGCACCCTGTGAGGTAGGAAAGGATGTGAGGCAAAAGACCAGCCCTTGTTCTCCTAGAATTAACACCCTGGAACCTGAGCACTTCCTCTTTAATGGTTTACCCTCACAGCACCCTGTGAGGTAGGAAAGGATGTGAGGCATGGTCTACACTGGAGCAAACTACTCCATAAACGTTAATTATGTAGCTGGAGTTGAGTATCTTAAATCACCGTCCACACAGCGGGAGGTCGACAGGAGCAACCACTCGTGAGGAGCAGGAATACTGGGAACCCTCTGAGTTCAATTTAGGAGGTCTGGTGAAGACCTGCTAAATCAAGCCTCGGAAGATCAACCGCATCAGTGTTTATCTTCCGCGGAGTGTAGACGTGGCCTAAGTGTGCATCCCCTCCCCCCCCTCCAGTAGCGAGTCTCAGAGTTTGGGTCAATGGACTTAACACCAGCCCCTTGAACCCATCTAGATGTTTTCTCTCAGGCTGAGCCACACACCCCAGGCCTGGTCTCAGAGCCCAGGCCCCACGCAAAACACAGATGTCTACACTGCTATTTTTAGCTCCGTAGGGAGTGTCCCCTGTGCTGGAGGCAGCGGGCTCAGACTCAGCACCGGATGGTGATGTTCTAAACTCTTCCCTAAGAGTTTTGCCCAAGGTCAGACAATCTGTGGCATAATCAATGTCTCTCGTGAGTGCTCTAGTTTGACACCCTGGCCAAATTATATGAGGCAGATCCAGCAAGGGTCCTAACATCTGGTTTCAGTGGCAGTTAGGAATCGAACTATCTTTGTGAATCTGGGCCTTTGTACCTCTGGCCCTAACCATCCTTCCCCTCTCTCTCTGAGTGGACTGACTCACAACGGAACTCTGAGACAAACCAGGAACTGGGTAGAACGCAGGGCTGCCAGTAAAGGGAAGAATGGGATGCAGACCTCTGGGTTTCTTCTCCCTCCTCCCCCCCCGCAGTTCCTCTAGTGGTGCTTGCAGAGTCTCATTGACTCCTCAGACGTCTAAACAAACATCTCACTGAGTTATGTGAAATATGCGCTCCCTTAGACTGGAAAGCCAGGCTTCAGACTTTCTTTAGTCCTCCCGAGTGCCTGGAAATGGGACCGTAAATCAAATATAAAGTTCCTGGATGTAGCTTTGGGGTTGACATGCTTTAAAATAGTCTGTGTGGGTACGGATTTGCTTGGCTGGAAGCCTTTTTATGTACAGGCAGGTATGTATCTTGCATAGCTGTCCAAACTATAAAAGAAACCTTAATGAAAAAAGGGGGGGAGATTTAATGGCTAAAATAAGAGGCCGTCCTGCACAATCAGACAGCTCTATGCTGGAGTTCTCTGGGAACTTACACCTACTACAGTAATCCCTTCCGTGTGTTCAGCAGTCGGACCTTCTCCACATCGCCTTGAAATCTTTTCACTGCATATTTCTGGCAAAGGGATGAGTAGAAGGGAGGAGCAGGAACAAGGCAAAAGGGGACTGTAAATTATGGGTTTGATCCAATATCCAATGGGTGCCTTCCCATTGATCTTCGTTAGGCATTGGATTAAACCTTTTGCTTCTTTGGTCCTGATTTCCGCACACGCTTAAAGCCTGCGGGACACACGCCTGTGCTTAAAAGCTTTGCTGCTTAGGGATTTACTTCCAATACGTGTTGAAATCTTTTCTGAATCTGGGGCTTAAACCTTCAAGGCTCTTCGTAGGCTTGTGTGTGCTAGTCATGCTTTTCCTCCACTCAGGTGCTTAAAACTATCACTTCGCCCCCAGCTTTGACCGTTAGTTGATTCGGAGATGTTGCAACCTGCACGGTGTCATTTAACTGATGCTGTTCTGTCGTCAGCAGAAAACCCTCCTCTTCTAGTAAGATGGGAGAATGGATCGCTTTGTGTAAATGTGGTGGAGACGGTTGGATATCTCCTCCCCCCTTTTTTTATTGAAGTGCAAGGCTGCATCCTTGCCCATACTATCGGAGGATGTAGGGCTACTTTCCAGCTTGCGGAACGGTACCTTCCTGCCCAAGTAATTCCACAGAGGGCTGGAAGTGCTACTTCTGAGGTGGAGCCCCAAGTCTCTCCCCAGGAATGTGGCTCTCTCCTATGGACGCTTGTGCTGCCCCTGGTTCTGCTTCTGTTCCGGCACCTTCTGAACGTTCTGCTGCAGATGGTTGTGGTGTTGACTCCCTCTGGTTGGCAGCTAAGGTTCTCCAGCGGCCGGAAGCACCTGGACTATCCTTTAGGGCCAGTCCAGGGCCTGGCAAAGTCTGTGGCCTGTCCTGCTGTGGAGGTTGGTTTTTCTTCTGGGAAAGCTTTCCAGGGACCCGATCCTGCCAGGTGCTCAACATGCCCAACTCCAGTTGGCTTAGGCATAGAGGATCCTCAGCCCCTGGCCAGAGGTTCTTCGCTCCTCGCAGGATGCGGCTGCGAGTTAGCCGAGATTTTTCACTTTTACAAATGAAACCAAAATGCAGAGAACAGTCACTTGTGGGCAAATGTCCTTTTATTCCTTGTGCTGTGCCGAGCTACCCCCCTTCTGTTGCGCAGGCCTCTCTCCGGACCACTTACAACACAGTTCTTCCAGCACAGAATCAAAGCCTCCTTCCTAAATGCACCCAGCCAGCACGTGCTGACTCAGAGCAAGAGATCGGTGAACCAACCCACTTGCTGCAATGAGTGTTGGCGCATGGGGGAATAGTGACAATCTGTTTATTTCAAATGTTCATAATATCACCCAAGAATTTTGATTTAATAAACCCTGGAGGCACTAAACAGCAAGCCAATGGGAAAAGTTCCCCGGACCTTGGTCTGCACTAGGGCTTTATTTTGAAATCACCCCCCTTAGGTCCAATTAATAAGTGGCGCATCCAGATGAACAATCCCATTATGTCGAAATAACTGGCCGCTTTAATCTGAAATCTGTCCTCCTGCTTTCTCGGGGAATAATGCTCATTCCTAAACTCAAAACTCCAGTCATCTGAAGAAGTGGGCTGTGCCCACGAAAGTTCATGATCCCATCTACATGTTTTGTTAGTCTATAAAGTGCTGCCTGACTATTTGTTTAGATTAATTCGGAAATAGTTTTTCCAAAATAGCAGTAATGTCAACGCACCGCTGCTGCTATTTTGAAATAACTACTCGCCAGAGCAATTGGAACCAATTACTCCTCGGTGTTTCCAGGGGCTCTACATCGAGGTAGCGCGTCCACATTAACGAGCCTGCCTTGGACTAACTTTGTTGCTTCCCCGTACTGAGGACACACTAGTTTGATTTTATTAAATCAGGAGTTATTAAATCGATTTTATTTCGAAATAGTTTCCTAGTATAGACGTGCCCTGATTAAGTGCAAATGGGAAACTCTCTTTCAGGTGCTACCGGCCCTGTGCAAGTGATAATCACCGAGAGTGGCAGTCATCCTAATTCCCATCCTATCCAGTGGAACGCACCCGAAACCTCTCACATTTCTCAGTACATTCTCCGATGGAGACCGGTAAGTACTTCCTTCGGGCATCCTCTAAATCCCCCTCTTTAGAGCTCTCTTGTCATGCAAGGCTCTCGAAAGCCTCAAATCAAACAATTCTTGGGTTTGGCCTTTTGACTTTTTTTCCCAAGAAAATGTGAAAAATGTCAACAGCCAGAAACTTCCTGATGAAAATTGCCCTTTGGTTAAAACTTTTTAAAAGCATTTTTGTTGGGGGGCAGGGATGAAAGCTCCCTTATTTGAAGGGAACGTTGGCTTTGTACCATTGGAACAGCCAGGATAAATCGTCACCTTAACAAGGAGGTAAAAATGAGCAGGATACAAAGCTATAAACAGCTGGCAGAAAATTAAATAAACACAAGTCTCTCTCCTTTCTTCTGCGTAGTCTGAGCTAAAACGGATTAGCAGCAGCTCGCTGGTTTGTTCATATTTAAGAGTGATTCATTTTAACCAATGAAAATGAGTCCTCTTAAAATGCTCCGGAGAACACTCTTCACAGATGTCTACTCCTCTGTTAAGCATGTTGGCACGTACCCATTGCTTGGCATTACAAGAACCCCGTGAAGTCAGTTGGAATCTTGCTTTGGGTCGTCCTTAATGAATTGGGCTTTAAACACCCGGGTGGCGATCTTAAAAAGGTGGGGATGTCTTTGATCAGTTCCCGCAGAAATCAAACGCGGCTTTGAGAGCGATGCTCAGCAAGGAGGTCTCTGCGTATGACCGGATGATTGGACCTGCTAGAGAATTGCTGTCTGATTTTTTTTTTTTTTTTTTTTCTTGCCCATTGAATGATCACTAGGCATATGTAGCTGCTAAAACCTTTTCAAAGCCACGTCATTAAAACCTCTGTACATGTCCCCAATTGTAAGTGTCCAGTATCCCGTTATACATTAGCCATCCCTGTAGACAGTCACTCTGCCTACCCCTCCTCCTTCCCAGAACCTTTCTCCATCCTGTGATTAGTCCTGCCACAGATACAAGAGTCCAGATGGTAGTGATGGGCAGCCATATACACACAGAGGTAACTTTGTCTGTTTGTGGGCTTTGGGGGTCTCTCTCATGGCATTGGGTGTCTGTGTTCTTTCAGAAAAACAAGAGAGCGCTTTGGAAAGAAGCCATCATCCCAGGTCACTTGAACTCCTATACCATCTCAGGGCTGAAACCTGGTGTGCAGTATGAAGGGCAACTTGTCAGTGTGCAGCAGTATGGACCCAAAGAGGTCACGCGCTTCGATTTTACCACCACTCATATCACACCCATTTCTAGTAAGTCCTGCTGTAAACCTGTATTTCCATACAGTCGTCTTCCTAACCTTTCCTTCCTTGGCTGGTATTTTCCTCAGTTACAACTTTCCTGTTAAAAATCATTTGCATCCACTGTGGATATTACAATAATCTGTTTGTTTGTTTCCTTGTTTGCCACACTGAACTTGCTTTAGAAAGGTAATAGGTACACCTGCATTCTAGCTGGTGTAAATCAGCGTAGCTCCCCTGAAGTCAACAAAGCCATGTCAGAGAAAAGCAAGCAAAATGATTAGGGGTATGGAACAGCTGCCATATGAGGAGAGACTAATAAGACTGGGACTTCTCAGCTTGGAAAAGAGATGAATGGGGTGGGCAGAAGGTGATAAAAGTCTATAAAAACATGACTGGTATGGAGAAAGCGAATAAAGAAGAGTTATGCATTCCTTCCCGTAACAAAAGACCTTGGGGATAACAAATGCAATTAAAAGGTAGCAGGTTTAAAACAAAAAGAAGTACTTCACACAACCAACCTGTGGAACTTCTTGCCAGAGGATGTTGTGAAGTCCAAGACTGTAACACGGTTCAAAAAGGAGCTAGATAGACTTAAATTCATGGAGGTTATCAATGGCTGTTGGCCAGGATGGGCAGGAATGATGTCTCTAGCCTCTGGTTTGTCAGAGGCTAGAAATGGGTGCCAGGGGATAGATTATTTGATTCCCTGTCTTGTTCATTCCCTCTAGGGCAGCTGGCATTGGCCGCTGTCGGAACACAGGATACTGGGCTAGATGGACCTTTGGTTGACCCAGGTCGATGTTCTTATGGATACCACTTCTGACACTCTCCATCCCCCCTCCTTTTTTTTTTTTTTTTTTTTTTTCCCCCCCTTGGCAGCCAACACCCTTTCTGGCGAGACAACTCCTTTTTCTCCTGTGGTTGCCACGTCTGAGTCGGTCACCGAAATCACAGCAAGCAGCTTTGTCGTCTCCTGGGTTTCCGCCTCTGACACCGTCTCAGGATTCCGTGTTGAGTACGAACTTAGCGAGGAGGGGGCTGAGCCACAGTATCTTGGTAAGACTTTACATTTTTTTTTTTTTTTTTTTTTTTTTTTTTGTCCATGGAGATTTCCATATTGTATAACATCAACATATTAGCCTGGCTGGGAAGGATGGTCTAGTGGGGAGCGCACTGGACTGGGATTCAGATCTGGGTTTTGTCCCTCCCTCTGCCATAGACTCTGTGCAGGTGCATGGACAGCAAAACCTCAGTCTCTCCATTCTTTATCTGTAAAATGGGAATAATATTTCACAGGGGCATGATGCGCATAAGGCTCAAACTCTGCTAGGATTTGTGCCCTGGCAAAGAATCGGAGGGAAAAGATGGCATTTTGGACTGCTTGCCAGTCAACTGCTCTCCCCTCCCTCCTCAGTGTTTAGCATGAATTATGCCTGAATCGTCCAGATAATTTGTCAAAGCCTCCCTGACAGAACTAGAAACTCAGAATGGAGGGCTGCCAGCTCCCAGCTTGCACAGGCTCATGAGCTGGGAGCTAGCAGTCCTCTCTCTCCCCCCACTTCTGCTTCCCCCCTCCTCCCCATGCGAGGCTGCCGACAGTACGGGGGCTGCTCCTGTCCAGGCATGGCGGACAGGGGAAGCTGCTCCAGTCCAGCAAGCTAAAATGCCCCCATTTAATCAATTAACTGGTTAAACTTAACATTTAACTAATGAAATGAGATTTTTACATCCCGAGTCTGTGCCCCTGCCCTCTTCTAAGTAGCCTGCCCATTGCAGAGAACTACCCTAGACTCTGTGGAGTTTGGTGGGGATAGAGAACCGGGCCCAGGCAGGATGAATTTGATCACCAAAAAATGGTGAACTCCCCCAATGCGAGCCCGGAGTTTTTGGTTGGTTCTTCTGGCAGCGTCACTGTCTTTTCTCCTTTTCTTTCTTGGTCAGATCTCCCGAGCACAGCCACCTCCGTGAACATCCCAGATTTGCTGCCTGGGCGCAAGTACATCGTCAACGTCTACCAGATCTCAGAAGAAGGGGAACAGAATCTGATCCTGTCTACTTCCCAGACAACAGGTGTGCCTGGAGATGTGCCGCTTGCCTTGCAGAGCCTGCCCTGGGGATTGTCAGAACATCTCTGGGGGCCTCCCTCGCTTGACTCATTTCTTATTCCCTTCCGCTCTTCATAAACAGCACCTGATGCACCTCCCGAGCATAATGTGGACCGAGTCGATGACACCTCGATTGTCGTGAGCTGGAGCAGACCACAGGCCCCCATCACAGGTCTGCTGCCTTGACGTGTAACCGTTTTAAAGGGGTTGTGAAACCTGACCTCGAGGAGAGAGGAATCTACAGAGCGGATGAGCAGTGTTATCTGCCCTGGGATGCCACAGTGTGTTTCAGAGAAATGGGGGGGAGTCCCAGGGTCACCGTGGAGACAGCACTGTTGAAGCTGGAGAGCGCCTTTAGTGTTTGCTTCACGTTGGGTTTTACAAGTTGAACCCTGTCGTTCAATGGGCTGGCTGCAAACTAACTCCCTTGCAGGTTCAGGGTTGACTAATTGCAACTCCCCCGTCTGTATCCAGGGTTCCCATCTGCCTCCACATCATCCCCATAACAAACCTTGGGAGCATGTTCTTATCTGAACCTTACCCTGTACTTCCGCATGTGTGGGGTTTAGATTTAGGGACCTGGGTTGGCCCGTTTTAGAGATTCTCAGATTTTTAAGGGACTCCTAATCTGACCTTTGGTGGAGCAGCTCTGACCTCGCCCTAAATTCCAGGGTGTGTTTGGATCCCTGAACATGTTTCTCATGTCTTATTTTGACCCGTGTGCTGTAGCAGGGATTGCGTGTGCTGACTGAGGCTGTTTCATCCCATTAGGTTACAGAATTGTCTATACCCCCTCCATGGAAGGCAGCAGTACTGAACTCAACCTGCCCGACACGGCTACCTCGGTGACCCTCAGCGACTTAATGCCCGGGGTTCAGTATAACATCACCATCTATGCTGTGGAAGAAAACCAGGAGAGCACGCCCGTCTTCATCCAGCAGGAAACCACCGGCGTCCCACAGAAAGGTAGCAGCCAGCACGCTCCCTGGTGTCCTGTTCATTCTAAAGCAATTTGTCAGACCCAGCAGGGCCAAATGAGATGAAAAAAAGAAGGGTCAAGAGTCCAGCTTTAGCTAGCTGTATGCCAGGAGCAAAGGCTCTGCATGGGCGTCCAGTCAGCAATGACCTTTACTATACACTGCTCCCAATGCTGGCTTTAAATATTGACACATTGAAGTCAAACGCTGGTTTCTGTTCGTTGACGATTACCACTTTGGGATCCCGAGTTTTCATTAGCAGAGACTTCATACTTATTGAGGCCCCGACTACCTGACAACATTAGGTTGCTCTAACTTATGTCTGCCTACAGCCATTCAAAATGGCCACCCTTTAAATGGGTGACTTTCTTTTTTTTTTAACCTTTTTTCCTCAAACTTGCCCCTGACCCTTTTTTGCCCCCGACCTCTTCCCCCTCCCCCCCTTTTTTTTCTTTTGCTCAACAAAAAAATTCTTGGTGGTCCTCATAAAAAATAAAAAAAAATTGTTTGGTGTTCGTCGGTCTTAAAGTTTAAGAAACACTGAATTAGGCTTCACAACAGAACTAAATAGAAATGTTGTGAGAACAAGGGTCCGGTGTGGTGACAGTGGAACAGCATGCTCTTTGGATGAGTACAATGCCAAGAACGAATTTGGCCCAATGATTTTATAGTCTCTCCAATTATTCTGCTGGTTTTCAAAGCTTTTTCTTTTTAAATAGCAAAATAGCTTCTTCTTTTTTTCCAGTCACTGGCTAGGTTTTTTCCTTCAAACGTGTGGCTCTGTAAAAGTTGACATTCTCCTGCTTCGTGCATTTGATTTTTCACTTTTTCTTTTGTGCCCACAAAATGAGATGCAAATCTTGGACTAAAATCTAAGCCATGGCTGTAATGTCAGATGTACAGTGAACATGAGAGTTTTCTGAAAATCATTTAAAACAAGGTGTATATGACATTTTCTGTTAAACGGTCCCTGTCAAATGTGTAAAATAGTTATTCGGTCAGAACTCACTACTTTCTTGTTCCACATCTTCTTCCTGGAGTCACCTTTAGTGTTCTGTGAGGAATCCCTTGATCTTATTGGATGTGTCTCTTCTGTCAGATGATGTTCCTTCACCCAAGGACCTACAATTTGTGGAAGTTTCCGATGTCAAAATCACCATCATATGGACCCCACCCTCAAGCACAGTGTCTGGCTATCGGGTGGACGTGATCCCAGTTAACCGACCTGGAGTGCACGGACAGAAACTACCTGTTACCAGGAACTATTTTGCTGAAGTCACTGACCTTTTACCTGGAACGACCTATCTCTTCAAGGTCTTTACAGTGCTTCAGGGCAGGGAGAGCAAGCCATTGACGGGAGAGCACACAACCAGTAAGTCTTTCCTTAGGCTTGTTTAATGGATTTCTAAGGGACTATCTTTTCTCTCCTTTAGGGCATGTCTACACTAGGAAACTATTTTGAAATAACTAAAATCGATTTAATAACTCCCAAAATAACAGAATCGAAATGGTGTGTTCACACTACGGAGAAGTCTTGAAATGAGTCTCAGGTGGACACCCTACCTTGACTTAGAGCCATAGGAAGCACTGGGGAGTAATAAGTTCAAATTACTTTGGGGAGTAATTTCAGAATAGCACTGGAGCACCCACACTAATGCTTTTTCAAAAAAACTATTTCTAAATTAGCGTTATTCCCTGAGAAATAGGAATACAGATTTCGAAATAACTTTGAAATACCAGGTGTGGTCATGTGGACTCTCTCCTTATAAATTTGACCTCGGGGAGGGGGGGGGGAGATTTCGTAATAACTCCCTAATGTAGACCAGAGCATAGTCACCTGTAAATGGCACCATTTGGGGTTTTTTGTTTTGCACGACCATTTAGTCAAATATTCCGCTAGAACATTTTTGACTGATGCTAGTTGCCTCATGGGATTGTGGCATGGAAAAGTTGAAAACTACTGTGCAGAGCAACTTAGGGCCAGATTTTTAAAAGTTTTCCGATGCCTAACTCGCATTGGATGTTTCTGAACCTTAAGTCCTACAGGTAAGCATTTTGTCAGGGGGTAACAGCATCTCTGCCACATTCATTCCAGGCAGGATTCAGCACCACACTTAAGAATGTACATAACTTTAAGCTCACACGTTGGTGTTTTGCTGTGTCAGGGCCTTTTCAGATAAAAATGCCTAGCTGGAGACCTACGAAAGGTTCCAAAGACTTTCTAATTTGTGTAGGCGAGCCAAACAGTCATAGGGTTATTTTACAGCACAGTTCTCGGCATGACTTAGGTTTACATTCCTCCACAGAAATGTAGTTTTTATTTTTTTTTTTATTAAAATTGGCGCATACATTTTGGTATTTAAAAAAAAAAAAAAAAAAAGCCTGCCAAGATTTTGAAAAGCGAGCCTACAGTTAGGCTGCTAAACCCATAGAACTACTAACGCGCATGTTGGTTTTTCTTCCAGAACTTGATGCTCCTACCAATCTGAGGTTTGAGAACCTTACTGATTCAGCAGTGTTAGTGGCCTGGACTCCGCCCCGCGCGCCTATCACGGGGTACCAGTTGACTGCAGGTCCTACAAGAGGAGGCCAACCAAAGCAGTACAACGTGGTGCCATCTGCCACCAACTACCAACTCAAGAACCTGCAGCCGGGCTCGGAGTACACAGTCTACCTCGTGGCACTGAAAGGCAACCAGCAAAGCAACCGACAAACTGGCATCTTCACTACTTGTAAGTGTGGTGATGGGTGAGTCTTCGTTTGTTGGTGTCCTCTTCTAAAGCATGGGCCTGTACTTGAAACTGGCCGTTCTAATGCGTCTTTCAAAACAAGTCTTTAGAAATAACATTTGAGTGGAGCTACTTGGGAAATGACTCCTCCCCCCCCCATAAGAAATTTAGGCAAAAATAAAAAACGTTTCATTTCTGATGAAATCCATAGAATCGTAGAACACTAGAACTGGAAAAGAACCTGAGAGGTCATCAAGTCCAGCCCCTTGCCCTCACAGCAGGACCAAGCACCATCTAGACCATCCCTGACAGATGTCTGTCCAACCTGCTCCGCGATATCTCCACTGATGGAGATTCCAAAACATCCCTAGGCAATTTATTCCAGTGTTTAATCATCCTGACAGTCAGGAAGTTTTTCCGAATGTCCAACCTAAACCACCCTTGCTGCAGTTTAAGCCCATTGCTTCTTGTGCTATCAGAGGCCAAGGGGAACAATTTTTTCCCACCCCGTCTCCCTGTGACTCCCTTTTAGATACCTGAAAACACCTATCACATCCCCTCTCAGGCTATGACTACACAGCCGCTTTTTTGCAGAAGATGATATGCAAATTGTGTTCGCATTTGCATATCTTCTGATTCTTTTTGTGGGAAGAGGCTTTGCCAATAAAAAGCCCCGTGTAGACAGGGCCATTTGTCGGGAAAACCCCCTCCTTCGCAAAATCCCTTATTCCTCAAAAATTGAGGTTTACAGGATCTTGCAAAAGAGGGTTTTTTTTTCCCGACAAATGGCCCTGTCTACACGGGGCTTTTTATCGGCAAAACCGCTTCACGCAAAAAGAATTGGAAGAAGATATGCAAATGTGAGCACAATTTGCATATTCTCTTCTGCAAAAAATGGCATTGTAGCCGTAGCCTCAGTCTTCTCTTTTCCAAACTAAACAATCCCAATTCCTTCAGCCTTGCATCATAGCTCATGTTTTCTAGGCTTTTCATCATTGTTGTTGTTCTTCTCTGGACCCTCTCCAAATTCTCATGTTTCTTGAAATGCGGTGCCCAGAATTGGACACACTACTCCACCTGAGGCCTAATCAGCGCAGAGTAGAGCGGAAGAATGACTTCTCGTGTCTTGCCCACAACACACCTGTTAATGCATCCCAGAATCATGTTTGCTTTTTTGCAACAGTGTGTCACTGTGGACTCATATTTAGCTTGTGGTCTACTATGACCCCTAGATTCCTTCTGCAGTACTCCTTCCTAGACAGTCGCTTCCCATTCTGTGTGTGAAATGGATTGTTCCTTCCTAAGTGGAGTACTTTGCATTTGTCCTTATTAAACTTCATCCTATTTGCCTCCAGATCATTTCTCCAGTTTTTCCAGATCATTTTGAATTCTGACCCTATCCTCCAAAGCAACTGCAAAAAAGTTTGTTTTTTCTTGAAAAACGAACCTAAACCTGAAAATTTCTAGAAATGTTAGTGGCTGTCAACCAAACCCGTAACACATTTCAGGCAAGCACACATTCTCCATTTCACCCAATCTGTTTTGATTGGGAGTTGGATTTTCAAATTTGGCAGTGAAAACCAGGGGAGGGGGGGAATCATTAAAAGCTGATATGTCCCATGGAAATTTGCATTTTGATGAAAGCCATTTTCCCTCCAAAATCATTTTCAGACAGTTGTACACTTGAGGATTTCTAGTGTGTTAGCTAGTGGTTGAAGAGAATAAGTAGCGAATAAGAGGGCAATTTCTTCCCAAGATTATAGGTTAAGATGAGTTTAAGAACTACTGTGTATCTGTAGAAAGGATAGATTTTGCTATTCAAATGATGAAGCTGTGAACAAGAATCAAAACTTCTTATTGATAAGTCGGATAACTACATTCTCTGTTTTAAGGAGTGTGTGGATTTTATATCCCTGTGAAGTTAAACTCAAGCATCCACATTTATCCCTGATGTAACTATTGACTTCTGTCAAGTTACACCAGAGACACACTGAACTCATAGTCTGCATCCAGATCTACACTAAAGGGGAAGGTCGAATCAAGATGCGCAACTCCAGCTATGTTACTCGCATAACCGGAATCTATGTACCTTGTTTCAAGTTTCCCCACTGTTCCCACAGAGGGAGGCCGACGGGAGCTTCCGTCAGCTTCCCTTACTCCTTGCAGAAGCAGGAGTATTGGCTGCTGATGTTGTGGGGAGGGTTAGGAGAGGTGCCTTCTGAGTTTGATTTAGCGAGTCTTAACTAGACTTGCTAAATCAAACTCCAGAGGATCAATCACAATAGTGTCAATCTTCTGCTTAGTGAAGACATGGCCTGCATTAGGTGTGGTCGTTTTTGGTGACACTGAGTGGCTGAGAAAGAAAGCTATTGCCTTTCACATCTACTTGATTGGAGCGAATCCACTGCAGGATTGGAATATGTTGTGTAACTGTATAACTTTTACTCACCAGTATTTTAAAAAATAAAATCCGGGCCAAGGCAATTTCCTTGTGAAGTCTGCAAATATGTTCCACGATCAGCCAAATTACAAACCCTTAAAACAAATGGAAACAAACGTTAATACTCCTCTTCTCCATAAAGATCACAAATGGCTTGAAGGGCATGCGTGGAACCAATCAACCCAACCCAAGGCTGTTCTTTAATTTTGCACTAAATTAGCACAAATACAAGGCTGAAAGTAGATAACTTGTAGATCAGCACTTACAGGTTTCTGTAACTCTGAGTATCGCTGAGTCTGAACTCCATTTCTCTGTTCATTTCACAGTGCAGCCCATGAGCTCCATCCCTCCCTATAGCACCGAAGTGACAGAAACGTCTATTGTTGTTACCTGGACACCTGCGCCAAGGATTGGCTTCAAGGTATTTTCTTGCCGCAACCTTGGGCTCTATTTTTGTCTCTATCGCTTAATGGACATTAGTTGCCACCCAGGTAGGACCAGTTAAGAATTAATGGCCATAGATTGTACTTTGGTAAAAGACGGGCAGGGAAAAATATGAAAGACAAAGTACAGAGGGGTAGGATCTTGAGTTTTGTCGGAAGCGAAAATTCAGGGGTTGAAATGTTTATGCGAAGGAGTTTATGCTCACACACGCCTGATCCATGGAGTCTTTCACCGGACTTCTGTGGCTTTGGATCAGGCCCGAATTTCGGGCATCATGAAGATAGTCCACCATGAGGTCACATGGTTCCATGATGCTGCATTTCCTGAGGCTTCTCCATCTGCAGGGCTCTCCATGGCCTTTGTGCTCCAGCATAGGTGGAGTTTCTCAAAGCCTCCAAAGCCATTAGCTGAATGTGTCCAGTACGCGTATTGTCACCTAGATGATTAGTATGCTAGGCTGGAAGGCAACCGTCCCCCTTTCTTCTCTGCTCCAGCTGGGTGTGCGACCGAGTCAAGGTGGAGAAGCCCCCCGGGAGGTGACATCTGAGTCTGGGAGCATTGTTATCTCTGGCCTGACTCCTGGAGTGGAGTATGTCTACAGCATTTCCGTCCTGATGGACGGCCAGGACAGAGACACGCCGATCGTCAAACGAGTAACTACACGTACGATACATCTGAATATTCTCACTAATCTTCAATGCTCTGACTCTACTGTGCTGTGCAGTTGTGTGGCTGAGTGGGGAGGGTACTTGTGGAGGACTCGGAGGGCCGAATCCTATTTGCTGCTGAAGGATAGCCCTGGGCAAGCCCCTTTGCCTCAGTTTTTCTCTATATTTAATGAAAAGAAGGATGACTTTTCTTTATAAAGTACCTTCATGTCGGGGTTTAGTCCAGCTCCCATTGAATTCAACTGAACACTAAAAGCAATACTACTAGTAATAGTATTTCTAAATCCCGTAATAGTATTTCTAAATCCCTAAAACACTATCTCATTTTCTCTCTGATTCTCCAGTGACCTTAACATTAGTGCATGTAGCATGTTAGAAGCTACATCTCCTCTTGAGGGAAGATCAATTCTGTGGTGGTTGATTTTTCTGGCATTTGATTTAGCAGGTCTGGTAAAGACCCACTAAATTGAATACCGAGTGTGCCGCTGTCAGCGCTAGTACTCCTACTCCTCACAAGGAGTAAGGGAAGTCAATGGGAACGTTTCTCACATGAAGATGACACAAACTTAGCGTAGGGTACCTTGACACTGGCTAAGTTTTGTGTGTGTGTGTGTGTGTGTGTGTTGTGTTTTTTTTTTTTTTTAATATAAACATAGCTGGAATTGCGTACCTTAAGCCGACCTTCCCCTGTAGTGTGGACCTGGCCTGAGTGTAGCTGTGACAGTAGCTTTTGAGTTGTTTAATGTTAAGGGATTAGGCTGTTTTGCTTTCCAAATTGTTAGCACATTATGTATTTGGTTTCTTGTAGCTCTGTCCCCACCAACGAACCTGCATCTGGAGCCGAACCCTGACACTGGAATTTTGACTGTCTCTTGGGATAGAAGCACAACTCCAGGTAACCACATAGCAACTGAAACAGCTCTGCATCACAATAGTGTAGCTCAAGAACAACTCCAGTGATTTACTCCAGAATTATACTAGTGTAATGGATGACTGAGCACTTGCTGTTCACCAGGCACTGAAGAAATGTTGTGGTCCCATGTAATTGTTTGGTATTTTTTTCCCCACTTATATTCAAATATCATCTGCTAGAACACCAATGTTCTATGTTCCTATATGAAATCGGACTGCAACAAGAGTCTCAAAGCCGTACGACCATGTCAGACCGTGGTATTTCAAAGGGTGCTAGAGATTGCCTTTCAAGTCAGGTAGTGCTGGGGAGTGCATGGACTTTAAGGTGGATAGAAAGCGAGCTTGATTGTCGGACTCAATGGATAGTGATCAATGGCAGCCGGTATTAAGCAGAGTGCCCCAAGGTCAGTCCTGGGGTTGGTTATGTTCAAATCTTCATTAAAGATCTGGATGATGGATTGGTTTGCAGATGACACTAAACTGGTGGGACCGGTAGATATGCTGGAGGGTAGGGATAGAATCTAGAGTGACCTAGACAAATTGGAGAGTTGGGCCAAAGGAAATCTGGACATCAAGGACAACTGCAGAGTCCTGCACTTGGGACAGAAGAATTCCATCACTGCTACAGGCTGGGAACCGACCGACTAAGTAGTAGTTCTACAGCAAAGGACCCAGGGAATACAGAAGACAAGAAGCTGGATATGAGTTGTCAGTTCACCCTTGTTTCCAAGAAGGCTAACGGCATATTGGGCTGAATTGGTAAGAGCATTGCCAGCCAATTGAGGGAAGTGACTATTCCTCTCAATTTGGCACTGGTGAGGCCGCATCTGAAATATTGTCTCCAGCTTTTGGGCCCCCCGTTACGGAAAGGATGTGGACGCATTGGAGAAAGTCCAGCAGGGGCAAAGAAAATTATTAGGTTGGGGCACATGACTTACGAGTTGAGGCTGAGGGATTTGGACTTTGCAGAAGCGAAGAGTGAGGGGGGATTTGAGAGCAGCCTTCAACTACCTAAAGGGTGGTTCCAAAGAGGACAGAGATGGGCTGTTCTCAGGGATGACAAATGACTGACCGAGGCGCAATGGTCTCAAGTTGCAGCTGGGGAGATGTAGGTTGGCTATGATGAAAAATTGTCACTAGGAGGGTGGTGAAGCACTGGGATGGGCTCCCTAGGGAGGGGGTGGAATCTCCATCCTTGGAGGTTTTTAAGGCTCAGCTTGACAGAGTCCTGGCTGGGATGATTGAGTTGAGGTTGGTCCTGCTTTGAGGAGGGAGTTGGACTTGATGGCCTCCTGAGATCTCTTCCAACCCTAATCTTGTACGAGTGAGGAGTCTGCTCCAGTCTCCTCCCTAGTTACCACAGAGTCTGAAACACAGAGCAATAAAGACCAAGAGGGTTTGTGGCAGGAAGGGAAAATTGGGAGTTAGTTCATTGAAAAGGAATGGCATTTTCCAAAGCCCCCAACCTGGCCTAACTCTTGTCCCGTGGATGTGGAGAGAGTATTTCCCTTGACGTCAATAGGAACTTTTAGGCCAGTGCCGAGTGCTTTTGAGATCCCTGAGCTGAGGTGCCATTTTCTCATTTCTTGTCATTAGCATTTTGGCTTGGGAACTCGGTGGGTGTGTTTCCAAAGAATCGCCAGGTGTCTCCCGCTAACGTCTATGGATGCTGCTCAGCTAAGGCCCCACTGGGCACCTCTTCGGAAATATATCTCGCTGTGTCACTAAGAAATGAACCGATATTGAACTAGGGCTCGCTGGCCTGGTTCAGGGTGGCAGGGCCCATCTAGTAGCCACCATCTGTATTTTCTCTGAGCAATTGGGCCCAAGCCCGGTTTAAATAAATCCGTTATTTGATTCCTGTGGTCTGTATTTCAGGGGTTACTGGGTACAGAGTTACCACCGTTCCTACCAGCGGGCAGCAGGGTTACACCCTGGAGGAAGTGGTCAGTGCCGAGCAGACTTCCTGCATCTTCGAAAACCTGAGCCCCGGCCTGGAGTACAATGTCAGTGTTTATTCTGTCCAGGACAACAAGGAAAGCATCCCCATCTCCAAAACCATCACGCAAGGTGAGTAGCGGCCTTGGCCCCGGGAACAGCCCCACCTGGCAAGCGGTCGGCATGTGGACCTTCCACGGAGTTTGCCGCTGGACCTACACCTCAGCCCTTATTCTCCCTCACACATTGGCAGCCCATCCTCAGGGGCACATGGGACATCCCCATGGGACTCCACCCGGAAAGTCTGAGCTGGTGAAGGAAGGACATAATGTTGTACTGGTAGGAGCTAGGGGTGTTACGTATCGATTAATTCAATAGTCGATTAACTTCATGAATTCTTATTGGTTATTCAACTAGCCTATAGTCCTCGGGTGGGGCTGGCAACCTCACTCCTGAGGATCCCCCTGCCACTCGGCACTGCTGCCTCTGTATCAGAGGCAGCAGCACAGGGTGCCAGGTAGGAGCTGGTTCGTGACAGGAGACCATTTAAAAACCAGCTCCCCTTGGGCACCAGCTGCCTGTCTGGGGAGGGACCTGAGCTCCTAGAGCAGGAGCTAAGCCAAGCTGCCTGCCTGCCTGGCTCCTAATACACTTTAAATGCAGAGTCGCAGTGGGGGTAGGTCCTGGACCCAGTACGAGCCAGCTCTGAGCTGAGCTGCTGGCCAGCCTGCTAAAAAAGGCATAGGCGGGGAGAAATGTGTGTAGTCTAGCAGTAACCTATAAGCTTTGGCTTATCGGTTAATGGGTTTAATCGACTCCACTATTACATCCGTGGTAAGAGCAGGCAGAGGTTTGCTCTGTGGGCATTTCACTCCGTACTGGGATGCCTCTGTGTCGCCGGAGGCCGACAAGCATCCAAACCCCTGGCCGGTTGGGATTCGTTTTGCTGCGTGAGGGTTTTGTTCAGCTTTGCTTCTGCCAACCCACGAAGCGTGGCCAGTGGTTGTGTTGGGCAATGCTTGCTGTTAACCCTGCTTTTAAAATGTCTGGGCTTCACTGAGCTGCTATGGGGTCTAAAGCAGTGGCGCTATATCATTAAAGCAGTGACCGCTTTAACCTGTACCATGCTCCAGTGCAGGGGGGAATGCACTAAAATAGCATCCTCTGTCGTCTGGGGACATGGTAAATGCATCCTAGGAGTCTGAACCGTTATTTGACAGAAAATGGACACTTTGCTGCGCTTCCTCTGGAACATACTTGTTTTTCATAACAGAGCAAGCACTTGTGATGGTTATTAAGCAAACCAGCTTCTCATGCCCTTTCCATCTGACCCTCCATTTTGCCAGTGAACGCCGAATGATCCTTTCCCATGTGTAATGACCCCTTGGCCCTTTCTTACTAAGGGGGGCTCCATCCCAACGCCCATTGACTTCACGATTTTTCCCCGGCCAGACCGGGCTGGAGCAGAGCTGTTGACTACCAAGAAACTGGGATGGTTCGTGTCCCAAGGTAAAGCAATCCCCAGGGTTTCCGTCAAGTCGAACATGTGAGAGTACAGCTCTACTAGCCTTGCAGTGTCCGTCGGGATAAATCTCACAGCCTACACAAAAGTGCGGGCTGCATAGAGACGGTTATGCAAACGAACCCAAATTCAATGGCTTGGTTTTCAGATTGCCAAGTTGGGTGAAGAGAACCAAGTCGGTTTCTCTCCGCCACGCTCTGCTCCTAGCAGAACGTTCAGAGCCTGCTGATGCTTTGAGTGTCTGATGGGAAAGCCACATTCTAGAAAAACTCATTTGTAACCATTTGCATTTTTTCTAAATGAGCTTTATTTTGGTCCTAAGTTTGGGGGTTTTGTTTCTGCACTTGTGGTAGAGCTATCGCTGTAAGTCTTTAAGAATACTGGGTTAGCAGCTCGGCTTCTTTTAGGCTAGCGAAGACACACTGATACCAGGTGCTTGGTGATCTATATAGAGTTACAGGCTGAAACTCTCTAGTCCGGCAACATCTGTGGTCCGGCACAATTTTAATTAGCCAGATGTCCACTTATCATGGACGTGGCCAACTTTCCCACAGTCCCATAAAGTTTGTTCACAGCCACCAGTCCTGGTTCTGTGTTCGGTGCTGCTCAGCTCTAATTTACCCCTAAATGTCTTCTAAAAGCCCAGCAAGCAGGGGAAGTGCTGCTAGACAACAATGATCTTCTGTGGGTTCAGCAAATTCTCTGGTTTGGTACCAGTCAGGTCCCAAGGGTGCCGGACTAGAGAGGTTTAATCTGTACAATTGTTTCTGCCAGCTCAGGATTGGGCCCAATCCAGTTATTTCAGCCTTCTCAATGGGTTGATAATTTTGTGATCTGAACAGTTAAAGCTGAAGATAATATTCTGACTCTTGGTTTTAAAGGCAAAAATTCTTGAGGGTTAGTTATTACAAATCCAGTTTTCTGTTGCTTAAAGATTAACAGGCGAGAGACATTTTTATAGGCTAAAATTGGGTATGTGCCTTTGAGAGAGACATATGAAAAATCACCTGAGGGGCCCAATTGTCTCCATGGGCGTTAGGAGCCTAAACCATTTAGGCTCCTATACATTCTATCAGGCAGGGTCCAGATCTTCAAAGGTACCCAACTCCCTTGGGAGTCCTGCGCTCCTGCCTGCTCCTGGCCCTCCGTGTGCTGTGAGGGGCTATTTCATGTGAGGAAGGGCAGCACACTCGGGCCCTCAGCAGCAACATGTTGCCCATTGCCGCTGTCGCTGTACTGTTTCCTCGCTGTTGAGACGTGTAACCTGACGACCACTGCTTTATTTCCTCCCCCTCCTCTTTTCTTTTGCCTCTGTGTGTGTCTTTGCTGTTCTCCCCCCCACTGCGCTCAGCAGAGGTGCCTCAGCTCACTGACCTAAGCTTTGTTGACATAACTGATACCAGCATCGGCCTGAGGTGGACCCCGCTAAATGCCTCCACCATTATTGGTTACCGCATCACGGTAGTTGCGGCGGGAGACAGTGTCCCTATTTTTGAAGATTTTGTGGACTCCTCAGTAGGATACTACACGGTGACAGGCCTGGAGCCGGGCATTGATTACGACATCAGCGTAATCACACTCATTAATGGCGGAGAGAGCGCCCCCACCACTCTGACACAGCAAACGGGTGAATTTTGAAAAAACAAACAAACAAACATGCCTGCTGTATTTGGGACCTGGATGGTGTTTCATGCTGTCACTAGCTGCTAGGATGACCGGGGGTTTCTCTGAGAAGAATTGAGCCGCTCAAAGACCAGGGCCAACTTCTGTTTTAAATATGGGAAAGGCTGTGTAATTTGCATTTTTTTTCAACCCCATGCATGAACTGCATTTTTACATTGCAGATAACTGCAAAGTCAGGGCTTTATTTGCAATGGCTTTTCAGGCTTCAGTCTTAAACAAGTCCTACAATCCCCAAATTATAAAAACCTGGATTACCATCCTCAGTGTGAGCTGGTCTCCCCAAAGGGTGGACATGATTCTGGAGACCTCCTTGGGTTTCGCTCCTGACCCTCGCCCTGGGTCAAACCACTTGGTTTCTTCGTAATTTTGGGGTGGTGACTTGACTCTTCAAGTTGTGCCTTACAAGGAGGACAAAAATCACCGCTCCCTGAGCCCACGCTAGTGACAGGCATGTCACATTGTCCAGGTTCTCTGTAGTGCATGAGTAGCAGATAGACTGAGAACTAGTTTGTGCATGAAACCCTGTTGCGTGCGAATAAACCATGCAGGTGCTAAACCCTTCCACACACAAGTAGGCAACGCGGCGAATGACTGAACGGATTCACCCTCTCCTCCCCTCTGCATGTCTCTGGGATGAAACGTCTTTCTCGTGTTTATGCTGCTGTTTGGCAACCGAAGCCTCTCTTGGCCACATCTTTATAACATGAGATCCAGCTGCGCCAGCCTCCTTGCTTTCAAATGATCTCAACAGAATTCGGTTAAGTATTAGCAATTGCCGAGAGGTTGAGGGAGCCCGACAGTAGCCAGAGTGTTTAACGGGAGTGGAACGGAATGTAGCTTAGGAGTATGTTCGCATGGGTCTGTCACAGTAGCCTCTCTTTTGCATGAGATACATTGTAGATTTCCTGAGCCTTCATCTGGGTAAACACTCACCTTCCAGAAACTGTTAAAAACACCCCAGTATTCTTTGCATGTAGCTGTTCCTGCTCCGACGGATCTGCGCTTCACCAACGTGAGGCCCGATACCATGCGGGTAACCTGGACCCCTCCAGTCTCCATAGAACTGACCAGTTTCCTGGTGCGTTACTCACCTGTGAAGAAAGAGGACGATGTTGCTGAGCTCACCATTTCACCCTCCGACAACATGGTGGTCTTAACAAGTAAGAGGTGATCCGCATTGGTCAGCTGAATGTCAAGAGATTTCTCCACAGCAGCCCTTCCCAAGCTGAGTCGGCCTCGCGCTAACTGGTCTGTCGATCAATATGCTGGCTGTGGTCCCATGGTTTTAGCTTCTTCTCCCTGGTTTGCACCAGCTAGATACAAATATAGAGAGTCCTTTCTGAATTATGCTCCTATATAGTAATGAGTTTAGCTGCCACATGGACATGGAGTGGTCAAGAGCCGGAGAGACATTCTCCTGATTTGTGACTTGGAAGTGAATTGCTCCCTCAGATAATTTCCTGAAGAGGTGGTCCGTCCTCTGAACACGTGGAGATCTCCAGCTCTCCAGGAAATGTCCTGTTGGAGATTCAGCCTCTAACCTCCAGGAAGAAAAAGCAAGACATTTACTGGCATAAGTGTAAATACTGGTGTAAATAGGTCCTAGCTTCATGGACTTCCACAGAGCTATGCTAATTTACACAAGCTAGGGACTTGGTTTATTTTAACAAAGTTAAAGTCAAATCTTAGTGAACGTTTTTCCTGCTAAGACCAGGACAAGACCATCACACTCTGGGGCAATTGAGCCTGGTTAGGTATTAAGAGTAGGTACATATTACATATCTTGTTTGACAAAAGGTCAATGACTTGTCGTGCACTTGTGTTGATGAAGAGACAAAGGATCAAAATAAGCAAAAGGTCCTTTTGTGTCCGTCTTTAAATTTGGGAAAGGAGAATTAAAGCGCTGTCTGAATTTGTAGCTGTACAGTGCAATTGATCTCTTACGTCTCACAAGGGCATGATTAATTTGCTCGTCTTCATACAAAAGTCGTATTTTGTTGGGAGGATTTTCCCTAGAAATGGGATGAGTTGATTAAAAGAGGGTCATGGCTTGAAAAATAAAGGACCACTTTCTTCTCTGGCATAAATCAGAATCTCATCACTGAAAGTCAGTGGTGTTAGTCACTTTACAGCCGGGGAGGATCTGGCCTTATGCATCACTAAATGCTCAGAGCTGCACGGTCTCTATGGACAACTACTCACTGCCAACAAACGCATCTAAATAATGTCCTGGCAAAGTAATCCTAACTAAAGAAGCCACCCACCTTCGTTTGCAGGCTAAAATTTCCGGTCAAACAGAAGGCCCTCCCTGTAGCAGAGAAAGTTGACACTTGGAATCCAATGTCCAACTATGCAACAGGCTTGGGTTTTGCACAGGCTGAGCAAAAATCGGTCACTCCTCCTGTGTTGGTTCAAATTACTGAGGTTTCTCTTTTGAGCCAAAGGTCACTCAATTGCAAGCATCTAAACTGGTGTGGTCTCACCCTTCAGATCTGCTGCCTGGCACTGAATATCTGGTGAAGGTCTACAGTGTCTATGAGCAGCATGAGAGCACTGCTCTGACTGGCGTGCAGAAAACAGGTATGTGGAAAACTTCTGTTGGCTGCTACCTCTTCCATTACCTGTTCACTAATAGGGCCTAGGACATAACGGCCTTTAAGAACTGGCACTCCTTGACTTTTATTGTTGTCTTGTTGGCAAGCTGCACAAAAATGTTAAAGGAGTAATATAGACGCGCTTGGGAAATGTGGAGCATCATGGTCAAAGAGGCAGGTCTTCACCTTGGCTTCAATGGGGCTATGGTGATTTGGTGCAATAAAAAGACTGTGTGCAGTAGAGCTCTGGGCGGATACAAAATTTGTACCTGGACTCGCGTCCATATCTGCAAAAATGATATGTGAATATCCACATCCGTATCCATGGATGCGGATATCTGCAAAATTTGCAGGCTTCTAGATGCAAAACTTGTATCCGCATTTGTATCTAGGCAAAAAGGAGCCCCGGATATCGGCACCCACATTTGTGGCTGCAGATTTCATGCGGAAATAAAGCCGGTATCTGTGGTTGTGCAGGGCTTTACACATTCATCAGGCTTAGGCTCTTTGCACTGTATCCCTTGGATATTTTACAGCCAAATACCAGGAATGCTCTTCTGCGTTTGCACTTTGGCTTTTCTGTTCTCTGAAATCAAGGCTGGGTATTTTGTTTGGGCAAACATTTAAATCTGTCAGATACCTCCGGTTCAGGGGACTCCAAATGTAGACCGAAGTTATGATGAGATTCCATATTTTGCAATTACATTCTCGTGGCATTTTTGACACCACTTTATGATCTGGATCGTTCTATATCTCTAGGGTCACTGCTTAACAGTGTTTGATAGGCGGGCAAGCAAGAGTCTGAATTTACACCATGGGGAAGGTGGCAGCAACGGGGGGTTGGAACCATCATCACTTCAAAATAAATGTATTTGATAGTCAACTAAGCTAATGCTCCCTTTACTTGGGGATCCTCCCCAGGTCTTGATTCTCCAACTGGCATTGACTTTTCGGATATAACTGCCAACTCTTTCACTGTGCACTGGATTGCTCCTCGCGCCGCCATCACCGGCTCCAAAATTCGCCACCATCTGGAGCAGGGCGGCGGTCGGCCCAAAGAAGACCGCGTGCCACCGTCTCGGAATTCCATCACCCTCACCAACCTGGTGCCAGGCTCGGAGTACGTGGTCAGCATAATTGCTGTCAATGGCAAAGAGGAGAGCTTGCCTTTGGTTGGCCAGCAAACTACAGGTCAGTTTGGACACAAGCCAGACAAAGCGTATGGTCTCCTGCCCCATCTCAACAAGCTCGTAAGCCCAATCCTGGCGAGTAACTGATGGCCAAGCAGAAGGCTGGCTAGAGGAGAGAGGACCTGATTCCTAGGCGCCTCAGTTGCATAGAAAGTCCCACAGGCCCAAAGCACAGAAAATCTCTCTGTAAGGAGACCAGGCCTGTTATCCTACAAAGGAGCTTCTGAACAGGCCAGGTTAATTCAGATAGGTCAGGCTGATGTCCATTGTGCATGTTTTTTTGTTGGAAACGACCTTGGGCTGACTTGCCTCTGGGTCTCCTGCTACCAAAGCAAAACAAGCAATCCAAGGAGCTGTTGGTTGGTTCCAGGGCTGATGGATCCAGGAGGGCCGAAGCCTGTCGTCTTTCCCACCAAGGAGATTCAAAGCCCTCCCACCAAAGAGCGTAACCTTCAGAAAGGAGTTCTCTGGGCCTCTCTCCGTGGTTTTTCGGCAGGAGGAAAACATGTCGGGCTCGATAGAGTGGCCACAGAAATCAATAAAAAACTTTCCATAGTCAGACTGGCCCTCAGGTCTCTGGGGAGAACCTACTGTGGCCTGGTAGTAGCAACAGCCTCCAGCATAGGTGGGGAAAATAAGAGCCTGGCGAATGTCAACGTGTCCATTCTCTTCTGTAACCCTGACCTCTCTCCCTAGTGTCCGACGTTCCCCGGGACGTGGAAGTTACTGCCACTGGCCCCACCAGTCTGGTGATTTCCTGGGATGCGCCTGCAGTTACTGTGAGATACTACAGGATCACCTATGGTGAAACAGGTTGGTGTGCTCTGTTATTCCCACCTACACCAGATCTCCTCGTGGACACCACGTGTGAAACTTTAAGCTTAGAACCAGGGGTGGGAAAACTTTTTTTGGGGGTTGGGGGGAGGGGGGGCGCTGACCCACAGAAAAATCAGTCGAAGACCGCACAAGTGAGAAGCAAGCAAGCCCCCGACTGAGAAGGCGACAACTCCCATGTGCTCCTTGCACACCAGAACGGAGAGGGGCTCAGGCTAGTAGATTTTGTGGGCTCTAGCCCCATGGTGGGGCAACTGGCGGGTTGGGGGGGAGCCCTAAGCTTCAGGGGCCAGATCCAGGCAAGCCAGGGGCCAGGCCTTGGGTTCCTCACCCCTGGATCACACCATTTTAAAAACTGCAGTAGATCACAAAGACAAGTGTGGTTGGAAGATAAGTGTGCCCCCCATGGAGCTCAGCAGGGGGCAGGGCACTGGGCACTGATGGATGTATGCTTAGAACAGGCGGCCCACAAATATAACGCACTTTAAAGGGGTGGCAAATCACCTTCGCCAACCACATCCAGAGACTCCGTGGGAGTTCCCTGGGCCTCTCGCTTGCCCCTTGCTTTGGCATGATAAAGTCTTTTCCAACTCATTATGGGTTGGCCCAAATCCCATTGAAATCAACGAGGGTGGTCTTCTGATTTCAGCTCAGTGGATGGCGGGTCATCCCCACGTTTGTGGTCTAAATGGGAGCAATTCTCAGCATTTTCATTACATTTGCTTTCTCGCCTGCCCTCCCAGGAGGCAGTGGCCCTATCCAGGAGTTTACCGTGCCGGGCACCTCGTCCACTGCCACCATCAGCGACCTGAAGCCCGGAGCAGACTATACCATCACCATGTATGCAGTGACCGGCCGTGGAGACAGCCCTGCCAGCAGCAAGCCAGTCACCGTCACGTACAAAACAGGTGAGACACATGGACAGTGCTGCCGGCTTTTGGTTAAACTCCTAATTGCCCTCGGTTTCAGCTGGGAAGAAAGGGCCCACTAGCTTTGGAGTTATACCCCAGATGGATGTGGCCCATCGCGTTCGTAATTTTTACCAAACGGCAGGTAAGCTTTTGGGGAGGCGAGTTTTTAGAGGAAGACTAAACAGTCTTGCAGGAGTTGTGGTCCTGTTCACACCTGTCTTTGTTGGAGGGAGCATACCAAGCAAAGATTGGCTCCTCATACATCAGATGTCAAAGCACTTGGACTGGGAGATGTAGCATGACTTTTCCATCTGCATCTTGGGTATTTCTAAAGCACTGACCTTAATCGGAACTACCTTTGAGCTCTCTGGATCAGAGACTGTCTTCTCCTTAGTTGTCTAGGCCTTGATCTGACTCCCATTGAAACGGATGGAGAATCTCTTTCATAGCCCTTTAAAAAGGTTTTCACTGCTCTTATTGAGTGTTGGAGGTGGTGATCCCTCCACTATGGGACTGATACATGGTTCTGGTTTGGGGCACTTCGTTAGAGTGTACACTAATTGGAGCAGGGACGATACTGCTCTGTTGGTACGAGATCCCATTTTTGTTGGCCCTTGGGTACCACTGTAACACACGTGATCAATAATAATACATGCTTGATGGTACAGGTGGTAAGTCAGAGCAGTATGGGTGTGCCAGTAACTGTCTGAGAGGAACAGCAGACATAGCTGGGAGGTTGCAGTGGGCGCTACCGACATGGGATGCCGTGAGGAAAAGGGGGACCCCAGCATTGCAGATGCTCACAGCGATTCTCTTTCGATGCGCAGAGATCGACACGCCGTCCCAGCTGCAAGTGACCGACGTTCAGGATAACAGCATCAGTGTCAGATGGCTGCCTTCGACTTCTCCGGTCACGGGCTACCGAGTGACAACCGTCCCCAAGGATGGCCATGGGCCTGTGAAAAGCAAAAACGTCCCAGCAGGTGAGCACGTCTTCGCGTCCCTCAGGCTCCCGCTCTAACATCCCTTCCGAGAGCCCTGGCCAGAGATTTCCCACTGAGGCCTGAGCGTGTTGGCTGAAGGGCTCCGTGGGTGACTTTGCGTTTTGTCCTCTGGAGCGTTTTATCAGCGGAGATTAGCTTTCAAGGCCCAGTGCTGCAGTGGTCGGGTTAATGTTCAACCCGAGTCCAAAAAGTGGTGGAGAGCTGGGTGACAGGGCTCCAGCAGCACACGGGGGCCTTCAAGCAGATGTGGATTCGTTGCATTCGCTTGAAGGACTCGGTGCACTGTCGGAGCGGGCCAGAAGAGCCAGCCTGGGATGACCAATCGACGAGCTCTGCTGACTTTTGGCACAGCAGCAAAGTCACAGGCTGCCGCTAAGTACCCTGGCTTGCCACTGCAACACACCAGCGTTTGGTCCGGCTTTAAAAACCAGGCCCATGCAACACAGCTTCCAGTCAGAACCCCCTATGGGAGTGAATGCCCAGCGGCGCAGCTGGGTTATTCGTCTCGCCCTGAGGTGAGCTGTGGCCATTCGGCGCAAGGGGCTAGGCTAGGGAGCTGCAGGAAAAGCTGACAAAGTTGGCACTCCATAGAAGCCCCTGCCCCGGCTCTGCCGGGGCTTAGCCAGACACCCAGGGAGGCCGCAGAGCGGTGCTCAGGCCCCGCCAGCACAGGCAGCAGATGTCCCATGCGACTACTCCTCTTGCGCCAGTATATTCTTGCTGGCTAGTCCCTGTTTTTACCTAGACAGTGTCATGTGGGGCATTTGACTCCCACAGTGAGTTACTTTGGTTCTTTCCCTGGCTGCTCCGGCTTGCCCCCGGCAGTCCTCACCGGCTTTCGGAGACAGGCAGGAGACAATCTGTGTCGCCACTTCCACCCCCACGTGGCTACCACGCACCGCTTCAACTTTGACGTGGCTCCCCTCTGTGGGATTGATTTCAGTGGGAGTTTGGCGCCTAAACGCCTTTGAAGATCCAGGCTGAAGGTTCAAAATCACCCCTCCTTTCCAAATAATCCCGGTGTTGTTTTTTCCTTGCAGATCAAACGCAAACCACCATCGAGGGCCTGCAGCCCACAGTCGAGTATGTGGTTAGTGTCTACGCTCAGAGTCAAAACGGAGAGAGCCTCCCGCTGGTTGAGACGGCCATCACCAGTATGTATTGAATCTCTCACTCGATATCCCCCCAAACCACCACCAAAATTGCCTTTATCTTCTGTGCACCTTTTAGGGGGCATCTCCGGGGCTGTTGAGATTTCAGAGGTTGAGAATTACTGAGCTGGATCAGCTACCAAAATACCCAACTCCTCACAAGGCTGCCAAAAGACGCAACTCCCCACAGTGCTGTGCTTTTATTTCCTTTCACTGCAAATGGCCTAAGCAAAATCGTTTTTCTTTTTTCGTTTGCCTTTAGCAAAGCTTTGAAAACGGCTTTGCATACCCCTCATTTCTAGAGCTGGAGGACAAAGGTGACTTTTAGCAAAGCTTTGAAAACGGCTTTGCACACCCCTCATTTCTAGAGCTGGAGGGCAAAGGTGGCTGTCGGGGGCTAGATTTTGAGGTGGCACATTTGCCTGAGCAAAGGAGTAAGAACCCACTTAATACCGTTAGTGAGTCCCCTAAGCCTTAGGGCCAGGCAAACAGATGCATGATTTACCCACCTGATCACTCATTCCCTTTCCGAAGTGAGCAGTGTTTTGGCCTGTCCTTCCAGTACACTGTGCGCTACTTGGGAAGCGCAGAAGAATGTCCTTTAGAGGGATGTTTCTAAAGCACAGTCTCTCCCAGGGCTATTCCTGGGTCATCATGGCTTATGTACCATTCCTCATTCAGGCCTGTCAATAAAGCCACAATCTAACCCCAGCTGTACTCTATCATAAGCCTAATATCTTTTGGTAAAAAAATGATGCAGTAAAGAGCAGGGATCAGTGTATGAAGGGGTCATTGCATTTACCAATTTGTTTTTAAACTTGAGGGAGTCAGCAAACTTCACTTCCCAGCCCAGCAGGGCAAACGGCTGGGGCACTGGGATGTTCATGTACCTGGAGAGTCTGCAGGCGTGGAGCCCCTCAGCTCCCATTGGCTGCAGTTCTCCATGACGGGAAGTGGTGGCCAGCACGTCCCTTGGCCTCCTCTGCTTCTCTCCACCCCCATTGGCTGGGGACGGCGAAGAGCAGCCAATGGGAGCGGAGAGGCTCCATGCCTGCAGACCCTCGGGGTAAACAACCATCCCAATGTGCCAGTGGCTTATGCTGATGAGCCGGGACTGGAAATCTGCAAACTGCCGATAGTCAACTTATGAAGGGGTCATTGCAATTTTTGTTTTAAACTTGAGGAGGTGGGCTTATGAACGAACAGGCTTATGATCGAGTATACACAATTATAAAACTGTAGCAAGCAGAATAAGTGTTGCATAGTAGGGATGTAGGACTTTCATAGGTTCTGGTTGCGGTTAAACTCTTCTGCTGGCGCATGCTGGTTCCCGGCTGCTGGCCCTGCTCCCAGAATCCTCAGCACAGCTGGCTCCCGGGAGTGGGGCTGGCAGCTGGGAAGTCATGTGTGCTTAGAAGCCAGCTCCTGGCGCACACCTGCTGTCGGCCCTGCTCCCGGGGCGCCCACAACATGTGTCTGTGTTAAAAAAATAAATAAATAAATAAATAAATTTTTTTTACATCCATATTGCATACGTGGGAGTATTGCACAATCTGCATCAGTCTTGAGCTGAAAGCTTCCTATAAAATCACCTTTGCTAACCTTACAGCATAGGAAATGCAGGACACCACATTGCAAACAAGTGACCGATTAATTCAAAGCCGATGATTATGGGCCCGATCCGCAGCAGTGTAAATGAGTATCTCTGCACCGAAGTCTGGCAAGTCATCACCAGAGCTCTACTCCTTTACCCTGGCCTAGGATCTTCTGCTGAAGCCTAAGCTTGAGAATCACAGTGAGGGGCTCTAATTTGCGGGTGTGTTTGAGAGAGAACTGTAGGTGCATGCTCGTTACAAAGCCAAAGTCTGTTCTTGATTTAGAAAATCTGCATAGTCATTTGCTGTCTTTACAAATTATTTAATTGGATGTTAATTTGTGAAAGAAAACCAGGGAACTGCTTCTCCTCTGCCTTGCACAATTACACTAGTGAACAGTGAGCATGGCATGGGTGTGAAAAGTTACTAAGTCAGGATGGTGGGGCCTGATTTCCATTCACACCAAGGCTCCTCACCTGGTGTCCCAGTGTGAAAGACTCATAGTGTGTACCCATTACATTTGTCTCTTGAAGGCCCCTCTTGCTGAGCCGAGAGGCATGGAGGGGCCCTTATGAGAACCAGACCCATGGGTCTGAGATCTGGGCCTTATTCAAGTCAATGGCAAAATTGCTCTGGACTTGAGTGGGGCTGGGATGGCACCTAGTGTGTTGCGCTCGCTCTGCAGAGGAGCAAAGATCCATGCAAGGCAGGGGAGAAGTAGACCCCAGCAAACCTGGAGGCTGCTTTGCATGTAATCAAAATGCTCTTTCTCCCCTCCCCCAACCTGCTTTTGTCACATAACCCTCTTACCGTTAATTTGCCTAACAGACATTGACCGCCCTAGAGGACTGACATTCACGGAGGTGGATGTCGATTCCATCAAAATTGCTTGGGAAAGCCCCCAAGGGCAAGTCACCAGCTACAGGGTGACCTACTCAAGCCCTGAGGATGGAATCCGTGAGCTAGTGCCCGCCCCCGATGGTGAAGACGACACTGCTGAGCTGCATGGCCTCAGGCCCGGTTCGGAGTACACTGTCACCATCGTTGCCTTGCACGATGACCTGGAGAGCCAGCCCCTGACCGGGACCCAGTCCACAGGTACACCTTGAACGACACAGCCCAGCAGCTCGGGCACTATTGGCTGATGAGAGGGGGCGTCGTTTGGTTGCAGAGGTTGATGTTTGAAGTTGTCTGAGGCTGGGAATGGGCGACGGGAGGGATTGCTTGATGGTTATCGGCTCTGTTCATTCCCTCTGGGGCACCTAGCATTGGCCACTGTCGGAAGCCAGGATACTGGGCTAGAGGAACCTTTGGTCTGATCCAGTATGGCTGTTCCTCCATACGATCACTAGGTATTCAGTAAACTTCTGGGAGGCTTAAAGGACTACAAAGGTTGGCAGCTGAGAATGGCAGGATCAAAGGCCACCTCACAAGTATAAGTAGCTTCCCTGTTCCTACCCATGCTAGTGCAATTGGGAGCGAGGTATGGCGCCCAGCACGTTAGAGCAGCCTAGCTTGAGCAGGTAGGAACCATCCTTTGGGGCCAAGTCCGCCATTCCAGCCTGTCTTTGGAAGCTCAGGGTGGCAATGGGAGGACGAGAGGCAAAGGGTGGTTTCCTGTTCCCTTTGCTGCCAGAAGGAAAGGATCGGCGTTCCGGGCCCATCCCTTAAACATAGATAATCGGTTGTATCTGTTGGTCCCGTATCTGTTGGTCTACCTCACGTGCTTCCCAATCTCTCTTGGCGTTGCTCTGTATGTGCACCGCCAGCCCCCGAGCGGCCATTTACACCTCTCCCCCAAGAGACTGAGAATAAGCCGCCTTCGACAGAGTGCCTGCCAGACCGCATCCTTGTGTCAAGGGTCCGTACAACGGGAGAAATCAGATGGTTTAAGCCTGACGGGGAGTCCATGGAAAGTTCCATCCAGACATTCCGGCCCAGACACTCTGGCTTGAGCTATTGTAGGTTCTCGTTTGCGATGTCACAGCTACCATGTGACAACACGCGTGTTGACACGAGACACTTTCACAGAAGCGTGGCCGTCCTCCCGGAGACCACATTAGGGCCAGGTCCTGCTGGTTCCATTTTGATTAAACCACCTCCCTCCTATGAAATAAAAGAAACGTGCGCACACACGCACAAATGTGCAATTGCCTCCTCTGCTGCCTTTGCATCCGCCTGTGCTTTCAAACGGGCGGGTCTTTGCTCAAGAACTGGGGCCTGGAATAGATTGTCTGCTGCCAGCCATCTGAAATGTACAGCAGAATTTCCTGTGTCACCCGCCGAGTCTTGGTAGCAATGTGCAGCCGAGCCGCCGTTAACTTTTCAAGTGAAAAGCCGACGCTAACATTCCGGGAGTGCACTGCAAATTCTGGATCTTAGTTTACAGATTAACCAAACAAATGAAACTATCTGCAGTGCTAGAATGATTGAAAGTGGACAGGTTATTTATACCTGTCAGAACCGCAAGCAATGGTTCTTAAATCAAGTCTGGGTTTACCCTTTAGGGAGTCCTGTACAAATCTCTTTGTCAGTGGGATTCTCTGATGATTAGCATGGGCTTTGAACTAGGGATGTTAAATATCAGTTAATTGAATAGTCGGGGAGTAGGGGGGCGACCTGAGCTCCCAGACCTGGCACGAGCCAGGCTGCGTGCCTGGCTCCTAACACCTTAAATGCAAAACCGCAGCGGGAATAGGTCACAGACCCAGTGCAAGCCAGGACTGAGCCGGGCTGCTGGCCAGCCTGCTAAAAAAATGTACTGGCAAGGGATGGGGGGGAAATGTGTGTAGTCTATAGCATTAACTGATGCACTTTTACTTATCGGTTAATCGACTCTACTATTACATCCCTACTTTGAACAAGGCCCTCTTTCAGTAAAGCAGTAGAGAACTGCGTGGCATCTTCATGCTGTAAAATTAGGATGCTTTGTAGCAAGGTAGTGATGGTGGGCATCAGGCTGAGCTATAGATTTGGTCTGTTACAGACCAAGAATTACAAATAATAAAACGATCAATATGTCCCATGATCTTTCTGTGTCTTTAGTTTATATGAACCCAATGACTTCTGAAAGTTCTTTATTCAAGTATTCGGTATATTCGCTCATGAAAATACTGTATGTAAGCAGCATTGACTTCACGGCCTTCATTTTCCGCTGCCTGGTCCCTTGCGTGTAGTCCTCTATACTTGTGTTGGTGGGTGTCCAATGCTCCCGTTTTGGCTGGGCAGTATTTTTCCATCCACTCTTCACTCTGGGCCGCCTTCTCCACTCTCTCCTCTCCCCATGAATCAGGAGTAACTCGGTAGAGATCAGTGGCATTAGGTCCATTTCACCACTGCCTTGCGGCTTCTCTAAATGTCAGTTCGGGGGCACAGTAGAGAGGTAGAAGAGAAACTGGCATCCAGATGACCAAGTGAGTGGAAGCACCTGCAAAGCTTCCACTCTTTTTTGGAAATGTTGTTTACTTGTTCCTACAACATAAGAACTAGGGGTCACCAAATGAAATTAATAGGCAGCAGGTTTAAAACAAAGTAGTATTTCTTCACACTGCACACAGTCAATCTGTGGAACTCCTTGCCAGAGGATGTTGTGCAAACTAAGACTTTGCTAGGGTTAAAAAAAGAGCTAGATAAATGCATGGAGGAAAGGCCCTCACTGGTGTATTTCACACTTAGGACTATTTCATGCTCACGACTGTTATCTTGACTGGAGCTGTGTTCTTCCAAGCTAATGGTCCTTTCATCCCAATTTTCACAGCAATTCCTCCACCCACAAACCTGCAGTTTGTTCAGGTAACTCCCACCAGCCTGAAAGTCAACTGGAATGCGCCCAGTGTTCGTCTCACTGGCTACAGAGTGCGAGTGAATCCCAAGGAAAAGACGGGGCCCATGAAAGAAATCAACCTCTCCCCAGACAGCACGTTTGCTGTTGTGTCAGGATTAATGGTGACTTTTTAACCTTTTATGTTATCAGTGCAGTGTGTGTGTGTGTGTGGGGGGGGGGGGGGATTGGATTTTTTTAAGCAATTGAAAAATGTGTTCAGCTAGGACCTCAGTGTGGGTAAATCAGCAGTTCTCCTGCCCATCTGGCCTTTGTTTTAAGTGTGGCCCCTTCTGGCCTTAGACTCTATTTGTTGGGTTTTTTACCGGAAGCTTCTGAATTGTACAAAAATGAGTTTGGTTTTGTGTGGTTTTTTTCATTCAATTCCTTGTCAAACGAGCTGCTGTAAACTGGATTGGTTCCATGGAGTCCAGGGCTGATCTGACCCAATTAATCGCCGTTTAATTGGAACTTCCGTGGAAGTGTTGCTCAAAGCAGAGCCCCCTTTGGGAGTACCAGGTTTCTGTGAGCGTTCGGTAGCGCAGGCCATGATTACCTTCGTCTCACGAGTACTAAGCCTTTGGAGCCCAGAGACGACTTTCTGCCCCTCAAAGTCATTCAGGTTTCCACTGTAATTTCTTCTACTTCCGTGTGTGTGCAGGCTTGCCGATGCCTCTGGCCCCACCCCTTGCAGGCAAGACTCCGCCCCTTCAGGGAGCATGGAGCTGGGACACCCTCTGCTTTGCCCAGAGGCCCGGGGAGGCTGTCGGCGCCCCTCAGCGTGCATGCTATTAGAGATCTAGATACAGAAAGCAGATAATCACGCTTCTCTTTGGTCAGCTACCTGGCCAGTAAATACCACGACTGCACTCCCAAATGCTGGCTCACGTTCATGGACAGTCTGGGGTTCCCCATGCCAGCAGCCCGTGCTCTACCAGCCTTCCCACTTCTTTCTTTTTCACGTATTTATTTCCAATGTATTTTTAAAGTCACAATTTCAAGCTGTTTTATCTGAAACATGAGAGTGGGGAAAAAGGGCGGACAGTCTGAATCTCTTTGACTTGCATCTGTTTTATACCAAACTAACTACCACTGACCTGAACCAAGAGACACCATTTCTCGAAGCTGAAAATCGGGCCTGCCTTCTTGTTCTGCATTTAACTGGAACGAAATCTAACCAGGCTGCTGAGGGACATCCATGGTGACTAGCCAATAGGACTTGACCAACTACCGGATAAGCGCCTGTTATTTCCCTAGTGTCCCAACCTGACTTGCTTTCCTGAAGATTAGCCGTTCCACGGCACTGCCTTACCATTGTGTGCCTTTATTTCTAGGTGGCAACCAAGTATGAAGTCAGTGTGTACGCTCTGAAGGACTCTCTGACTAGCACGCCGGCCCATGGTGTGGTCACCACCCTTGAGAGTAAGCAACCCTGCCTTACAAATAGCAGCAGGTAGCAGGCATGGAGTCCACCGGCTAAGTCCTGAATAAGGACCCAGCAGAAGCAACTGGGTGAAGTCACAGTAGCATGTGGCCCTTTGAAAACGGCTGATGAATTTCATAGGTTCTGTTAGGGGAATTTTTTCTCTTAATGACCCTATTCCTCCCCTTCCCCAAATATCACATCTGTTCATTAGACCAGCGGGTTTCAAACTTTTCTCCCAACCCAGTTTAAGAATATTGTTGCCCAACATAATGGGACAGGAGTGCAGGCTCCGGGGTGGGGCTGAGGAGAGCTTTGTGGTGCAGGAGAGGGCTCTGGCTTTGGGGAGGGGGGGAGAGCTGGAGTAGGAGGGCTTATCTTGAGCAGCTACCGGTCAACAGTGCAGCAGGGGGGCCGAGGCAGCTTCCTGACTCTACAGACCCTGCTGCACCTTAGAAGCAGCTGGCGGCAGGCTCCCAGCTAATGGGAGTGCGGGGTTAGTGCTGGGGCCAGAGGCAGTGCATGGTGCCCTGTGGGCTCTTTTGCCCCCGCCCCCAACTAGGAGCTGGCCACTTCCGGGGCACAGCACAGTCTGTGGTGCCAGGACAGGCAGGGAGCTGCCTCAGCGCCCCCACTGGTCACCTGATCCCCTTGCAGCAATGAGACCTAGCACCCACATCCCACCACTCCTAATGTGAAAACCAGTGCGTTAGACTGACCTCCGTTCCTTCTGTGCAGACATCAGCCCTCCCCGCAGGGCCCGTGTGACAGACGCTACCGAGACGACCATCACAATCACCTGGCGCACTAAGACCGAGACCATCACCGGTTTCCAGGTGGAAGCCGTGCCGGCAGATGGCCAGAGCCCCATTCAACGGACCATCACTCCTGATGTTAGAACCTACACCATCACCGGTAAATAGCTCCTTCAGCAGCCGCCTCTCCCTTGTAATCTTTCAGCTGCCCAGCTCAGAGACACACTTGGTGGTTCTGTGCTGGGGATCCTGGGGCGGGAATGGAGCTCAGATGAACCTTGGGCTTCCTCCTGCTGATCGTGTAACATGTGCACACATTCCCCGGAGCACCCTCGGCAAAACTCCGTCCTCCCAGGTCCTCGGAGAGGAGAGCTCCCATTGACGCTCACCAGAGAGGTTGCTGAATGAGGCCTGGATGGGATGGGAGTGCAGGAAACCAGTCTTGTGAGGTTCGGCCGGGGAGGGAAGTGTTCCAGAGCAGCTGCTAAGGAAGCGCACTTGTTCACACCATTAATACTCTCTTAGGGTCACATTTTTCACTTGCCCTTTGCAGACCTTGTTTCATATCCTGCTGAGAACCCTGTTAGTTCAGAGTTCCAGCTTCCGGATTTTATGCAGGACTGATATTTCTCAACCTCCCCATTAGGAATCTTCCAAGATCTGAATAGATCTTCGGGGACTCTACCCTCTTGCTTACGTTCCCTCGCCATTCTTTGCGCTCAAGTTTTCTGCTGGTTCCCTTGTTTCATTTGTCCCGTCGTTAGTCCTCCCCCGATCATTCAGAACTAATGAGAACAACGTCCCCATCTCCTGGTAGCAACCCTTTATGCACTCACTGAGCATAGTTTTGTGCCCTGCATCAGACGTTGAGACAGCAGTGGTGGTGGGAGGAGGCTGGCTGCCCCGTTAGAAGATGGGTATTTCTCAATGGTAACAACCTTCTCGGATTTAGGAGGGAGGTTTTTCAAAAGCACTCGGCGTCAACTTCATTCTGCTCCCTTTGACTTCAGCAGGAGCAAAATTAAGACAAAGGGATGCTTCTGAAAATCTCATCTTTTGTTTTTTGCAAGTCTACAGCCAACCCGGGCATTAAGAACTAGTTAAAGTATGGCGATAGCGTTGATTGCAGCTGCTTTCTAACCAGCAAGGCTGAAAGTGTCCTATTTCTACTCCAATTCCAGGCTTGCAACCAGGCACGGACTACAAGATCTACCTTTACACCATGAATGAGAATGCCCGCAGTTCCCCTTTCGTGATTGATGCTTCCACCGGTAATGGTGCTTTGCGTTTGTTTACACACAAACGGAAATTCTACCTGAGCTGTCTTTGACTTTGATCATGGCTATATTTTACTGCATTTCACCGCCATCTTCTTCCTCTTGAGCAGTGGGTGATCGCAGCCCAGGGAAACCTTTTATTTCTCTTCAGCCCTCAGGACAAGGGACATGAAGTCCTGCAGGCTTTTACGACGTTGCTGAACTGATTTTGTTTGCTCTTAGCCATCGATGCGCCTTCCAACCTGCGGTTCCTCACAACCACAAGCAACTCCCAGCTGATTACTTGGCAGCCGCCCCGGGCCCAGATCACAGGTTACATCATCAAATACGAGAGACCTGGCGCACAGCCCAAGGAGCTGATCCCACGCCCTCGCGCCGGCACCACGGAGGCCACTCTCACCGGTACGTCTGTCCCGTTGGGGAGTTCCTGTGCTTAGTGCCCTCTTCGCTGACCGGAGCATCCCTCTTTGAGGGCTTTGCCTACGTGATTTGGGGGGTAGGGCACAGCATATGGCTACCAGCACCATAGGTCTTGGCCCCGGTGGGGATCCAACACTGTCGGGCAGTGTTCTCCAGCCTTTGTAAGCCCAAGATCCCTTTCTGAATTTAAGTCAATCCAGGCTCTACCTCAGACCCAAATACCCTTGTCCAGCCACCACCAGCTTGCCCACGGCTGGAGCTCCTTCCCCCTGCCTTCTCGGAGGCCCTGCCCTGCTTGCTCTGTGAAGATGGGATAAAGGAGAACAGTGAGGGGACACCCTGACATCAGCACCCCCTCCTTTCCCTCCACAGCAAGCAGGAGTGTCCTGGGGGGCAGGAGTAGCATGGCAATGGTGGGAGGGGCAGCTGAAGTGGCTGGTCAAACCAGTCAGTCACCTACCAGAAGATCCCAGTCTACTGGCTGGAGACCACTGCTATAGAGGGGTGCATGTGGACAGAACCTTGGCTCCACTCCATCCCCCTCCATGTGCCAGCCAATGCTGCTGAGCAAGCACGGAAGGACCAATCACCTGTACCTGGGAAGGGGCTGGTGCCGATTATGCTCAGCTAGAGCTCGGAGAAGCCAAAGAGAACTTTTTGGTGCCCAGAATCACACTTTGGCTCCCTCGCTGTTTCCAGCACTGCACCTCTGAGCTGGCCCGTGTGCACGGCCTAACCCTCACTGAGCAACTATCCAGCCTGCTGTCGCTTTTTAGCAAACACAGTCTGAAGTGTCTTTGTTGTTCACTCACAATGGGAGCTCTAGAGTCCAGGTCTTTCCTCCCCAAAGGATTATGGGGGACAATCGCGATCACAACCGATGGCTTGGTAAGGACTGTGATTGGAGAAGGCAGTGTACTTGTGTGGTGAGCAGGAGCATTAGAAACCACAGCAGGGAGCAAAACCGTGACAAGTCTCTGGTTAGCTATCCCAGACTATCATTTAGTAACTAAGGGCTTCCTTCTTCTTCTCCTCCCCAGGTCTGGAGCCAGGAATTGAATATACCATCTACATCATCGCTGTGAAGAATGCTCAAAAGAGCGAGCCACTGGTTGGCAGGAAAAAGACAGGTAAAATAATTTTCTCTGAGAAGTTGACTCTTTTCCTCCCTGGGGAATTAGTCTCAGTTCTGGGGTAATGTCTTTTCCAGACGGCTAACGTTACCACATTGCTTAAAATATCCTTTTCAGTTGAGTACGTCATTAATTGAGTACATGCTTTCCCGAAGTGACCGTCTGCTTGTACAAAGTGGCATTCTGCTGTCATTGTCTTTTTTTCCCCTCTTAAAAAAAAAAAAGAGCCAAGTTTTCATAAGCAACTGTTCAGCACACGGCCTCTTCTATTGCAGAACAATGTAAAGCGCATTTCAGTGGGCTCAAACAGAGGACATGAGCTTGCATTTGGTTTGTTTTCTTCTGGGTGTCTCCCTTCCCCAATGAAATGAAGGCGAACGCTCGCTTTTCCTTCTAGCCTGTGATGGGTTCAGTGGGAGAAGCCCACCTAGTCAGAAGATGTTTATTGGATAAACACTTGATCCGTTTGAAGTTGTCTGAATTTTGTGTCTAGTCTTCAAGGAGGATGCAGCAAGTCAAATCCTTGCTGTCCTGCTGGAGACCTGAGTAGCATAATAGTGAAAACCTTAGGCGCATGCTAAGGGAATCTTCAATGGATAGACTACGAACGTCTCTTTCAATCTCATCTTTTCTTAATTTGCATATTGGTGGCATCTCTGCGGTGCAGTGATCACAGCTTGGGCTCAATACAGGTTGAACCTCTCCAGTCTGGCACCCTCAGGACTTGATCAGTTCCAACCCAAGAATCTTCTGGACTATGGGAGCTCATGTTATCTAGCTGCATTACAACACACTACTTATTGGGCTCTTAAAGGACTTTTAGGGGTAAATTGGAGCTAAATAACAGCACAGAACACGGACAGCCAGGACTGGTGGCCGTAAACAAACTTTATGGGACTGCAGGAAGAGTGGACACACCCACGATTAGTGAGCTGGATGTCCACTTAAATCATTCCGGATGATGGATGCTTCCAGACCAGAGAGTTGTGGACTAGAAAGGTTCAACCTAAGAGTTCTGGACTAGAGAGGTTCAACCTATAGTGTGAAAATTAATAAAAGTTCTCACCCTCAAATATAGAGGGGAAAAAAAGCCTCAGTCCTCCCAGAGGTACTAAAAAGTGAGCTGTACTCATGAGACAGCTGCTAACATTGAGTTGCTTTGAGCAGTTTACAGCATTCGCTGTAGTTGCCTAGTTTATTACTAACGCTGGGGCTTAAGGTGCTTGGCTTTATTGCTTCTAACCTTTCTTTGGCTAGACGAGCTCCCGAAGCTGGTAACCCTGCCGCATCCCAACCAAGGTGGACCGGAGATTCTGGACGTGCCTTCCACCGTGGAGAGGACACCTTATCTCACCAACAGGTTTGACAATGGAAACGGTATCCAACTTCCAGGCACCAGTGGCCAGCAAACGCTAGGAAACCAGGGACAACAAGTCTTTTTTGAGGAACACGGCTTTAGAAGGACCACCGCTCCCACCACGGCGACCCCCATTCGGCACCGGCCGGGCCTGCAGACCCCAGATGTGGATGAAGAGATTGACCTTGGTAACAGGTACTCAATACAGAGAGTGGACTTGGTTCAGCCTTCATTCCCTCACTCACTAGGGCCCAGGCGCAATGACACTACAGGCCAGGAAGCTCTCTCTCAAACAACCATCTCTTGGAGGCCCCTGCTGGAGAGCACTGAATACGTCATCTCCTGCCAGCCAGTGGGCACTGATGAAGAACCTTTACAGGTAATGAACTGTTCATTTTTCTTAGATGCACTGTGAGTTCTGCTAGCAGGTGGGTCGTGACAATGGCAGCCCATGCACATTTAAGGAGAAAGGACCAATTCTAGCTTCCTTTGAGTGCATTCTAGAATTGCTAAGAGTTTGTTCTAGATTCTAACTTCCCGTGGGTGCATTCTAGAATTTGCTTATATGCGTCCATCCTAAGTACCGTCTGCAGGCCACTTCCCAGATTAGCAGTAACAAAAGGGTTAATGCTTTTTGGGTCTTGAGGGGCAGGAAATTCAGAGTGATGCTGTGACTAGGGGAGAACAGAGGGTACATTGCTTAAAACACAAGGACCCCGGAACACCGTTGATCTACACGGTATTAGCACTACCTTATGGTGATGCTTGGGGATCTTATCCTATAAGTGCTTGGCAAGAGACCTAGATAAGATTGTGGAATCTCCATCACAGGAGGGCTTTATTAAGAACAGGTGAGACAAACAGCTGTTAGGGATGGTCTTGATAACACTTAGACCTGCTTCAGTGCAGGGGACTGGACAAGATGCCTTAGTGAGGCCCATTCCAAGCCTACATTTCTATGATAGTATCACATACAGTACTGGAATGAGGGAGCTAGGTTACTATTGCTGATCTAAAGGTGGTCCTTGGTCTACCAAAGTTGACTTGGGTGTTTTGGGCAAGTCCCTTCACCTTCCTCTCCCACTGAGTCCCGTACGAAGACACCAGCTTGCAGCCGGAGAAGCACGCGCTTTCTAACGTCAATTCTGTGGCAATGTAATTGCAGTTCAGAGTTCCTGGAACTTCCTCGTCTGCTACACTGACCGGCCTCACCCGCGGGGCCACTTACAACATCATCGTGGAGGCATTGAAAGATCGCAGGAGGCACAAGGTGTTGGAAGAGGTCGTCACCGTAGGCAATGCGGGTAGGTTAACGTGGGAAAGTCTGGGCAAAAATCTGCTTTGCACCTCTGATCCACAGCCTAGATCCCACTGGGCGTGTGCTAAACTGTCATGCCATACATTGGCAGAATCCGTTTGTTTTTTCGTTTCAATGGACACTGGCTTTATGGCACAGATGATTATGCAGCACTACCTTGGTGATCAGAGCTATGCTAGGCTGCTGCTTGAATGTGCTTCGAGACCCAAGGTGGATGACCACTTCTGTTGGCTGTTTTATTGCTCCAACTTCTGTTGTAAGAGGGAGTGTGGGAGTGTCCTAGAGGAAGTCAGAGATGCTAGGGCTGTGATAATGCTGGGGTCATAGCGGACATTTCTATGCCAAATTGCTGGTACCAAACAAATGTACCTACTCCGAGGAAGGACTAACTCAGGGTTCATCTCCTCTTTCGGCTCCAGTGACCCATGGATGGGGATTGGCCCGGTGAATTATCTCATTGCTTAACAGAGTTGCCTGTTCGGAGGCTGTGGGCCACAGAGTCCAGTTCGTGGCTCCCAGCTGTGGTGTAACCAACATCTCTCCTGGCTGTAAATCGCCTGGCATGTTCTCTGTATGCAAGCCAACCAGTTGGGTAGAACCTAACTCTGCACCTGAGCAGATTTTGGGAACCTACAAGAGCATTATAGCTCCCTGAGAGGTGTACACCTCTGTCACTTACACTCTGACCCACAACAAAGCCTTAACTCCTGCCCCCCATTGTGCATCATAGAATCCAAATGCCTACTGCTCTGTGTGAGGGCAGCATGTTTCTCCAAAGGCAAGTGAGTCTGATCGCTGCTTTCCAGCAGCAAATGCAAAACGTGCACCCGTGAAACCTGGCAGCTCAAAATGAAGGAAAAAACCCTACTTTCACCTATGAGGGTTTTATCCTCCCCCTACCGCTCCGCCAGGAGCACCTGGGAAATAACTCCTAAGGAGGCTGTAGTACTGATGCAAAGCAAGTTCTCCAGCCCTAAGGGAAGGTGCATGCAGTTACCACGGTTCTTCTTTCCAGGCTTGTATCCCGTGTCTGACGCCTGCTTGCTTGCTTTTCTTTCCAGTGTCTGAAGGTGTGAACCAGCCATCCGACGACACCTGCTACGACACATACACTGGCTCCTTCTACTCCATCGGCGAGGAATGGGAGCGGCTGTCTGATACGGGCTTCAAACTCTGGTGCCAATGTTTAGGCTTTGGCAGTGGTCACTTCAGATGTGACTCCTCTAGTGAGTAGCTTGGTCCACCCCTGCCTACCACTCCACACCGGGCTAAATGAGCACCCCTCGCATGTTTGGCAGACCCAAACATGAGGCAAATAAATGCATATTCTAGTACCTGACTCAACGATGGAAAACTTAACTGTGGTTGAAAACTGCTGTTCAGCTGTGGCCATGTCTCTATTTATTTATAATGCTTTAGAAAGGAAACAATCTTTTTCCCTTCCCTTGCATGGGGAATCCAGTTAATGCTTAAAAATGAGAGCGACTGAGTTGGTAAAGGTGGCTCTGAACAGTCATTTAAGCACCCCTTGAGGATTAAATATAGTTAACCTCTAAACTCTAATTTTGTACATCCGTGCAATGGATTTGCTACCACTGCCATTCAGTTCTGTGAGCATGGGACAAAGTCCATGGCTGGTTTTGAACAGGCACTCGTAACACCATGAGGCTGGCGGTCAGCACTGCCAAACAGCACTGTGGCAGTAGCGTGGAGTTGGAGTCTTTGCAGGAGTTGACAAAATTCAGATGAAGGCGAAGGGATGAAACAGTCAGCGTGATTAAGTGATTCTGTAGGGCATGCCTCTTGCTGATTTAAATTGTGCTTTTTTTCTGTTACAAAGTTAAGCAAAGCACAAAGGGAATTTCTGTTGTACATAGATTTCAAAGCTAATTGCCACAAAGACGACATTTGTTCAAAGGTCTCATCGTTCTATTTCACCATATGGTACACCAAGTTTAATTTCCCATTATTAGTGTGAAATGCTGTAGTTACTTTTTTTAAAACACAAGGGTTACGTCTAGATTGGTATGATTTTCCGCAAATGCTTTTAACGGAAAAGTTTTTCTGTTAAAAGCATTTGCGGAAAAGAGCATCTAGATTGACAGACGCTTTTCTGCAAAAGCACTTTTTGCGGAAAAGCGTCCGTGCCAATCTAGACGCGGTTTTGCGCAAGAAAGCCCCGATTGCTATTGGGACTTTTTTGCGCAAAACAGTTTTTAGCTGTCTACACTGGCCCTCTTGCGCAAATACATTTCCGGAAAAGGGCTTTTGCCCGAACGGGAACATCAAAGCATTTGCGCAAGAAGCACTGATTTCGGACAGTAAAACGTCAGTGCTTTTGCGCAAAATCAAGCGGCCAGTTTTTGCGCAAAAGCGACTGCTTGTGCGGAAAAACTTGCCAGTCTAGATGCAGCCTAGTACACTTCCTCCCTTGCCCCTCTCAAGTGTCAATTCCCAGGATCCCATCTCTACCCAATTGACATTAACAACTTTTCCCACCCATACTTTCCTGGGGAAGCTCCTCACACCTTTTCCAAAGTTTAAAATGGCCCTCCTTGGCTAAACCTCTCATGCTTCCTCTCCCCAACTGTCGATTTGAGACAACTCTACTCAAGTCCACAGAATTGTGCCAGTTTACACAAGCAGTGAATTTCTCCTTGGACTTTGGATTTCTCTGTCCTTCCTTGGGTTGGTCTATGAGGCTTCATAGAGGATTTCTCCGTCCCCTAAGCAACTGGGCTTAGACTAACCACCTGCCTCTCTTTCCTCTGGTTCATTCAGAATGGTGCCATGATAACGGAGTGAGCTACAAGATCGGGGAGAAGTGGGACCGCCAGGGCGAGACTGGCCAGATGATGAGCTGCACATGTCTTGGCAACGGAAAAGGAGAATTCAAGTGTGACCCACGTACGTCCCTTCATGGTGCATGCTGACACGAACTCTGTTTTCAGGCTTTCATCTTACCCATCTCTTAGAATTTCACCACAGAATGGGTGGACCTAAGCCCTGGTCTACCCCACAGCTGAAGGTCGAAATAAGATACGTAAATAACGTAGCTGGAGTCGACCTATCTTAAATTGAGTTTCCATACTGCCCATGCAGCAGGAGACCAACGGAAGCAAACGCTCCCTTCAGCTTCCCTTACTCCTCACAAAAGGAGGAGTACTGGACACCAGCCGGAGCTGCCCTCAGTATTCCATGTACAAGTTCATACGTGATCTACTAAGTCGAATGCCAGATCAAACTCTGGAGCGTCGATCTTCTGTGTAACGTAGACGTGCCCTAAGTGGGGTTAAAATGTCTGGTTTACTCTACCATGGCGCCCCCTGGTGGGTAAACAGTTGCAGGGACTTAAGGCAGGATCTCTGGATTTGAAAGCATGAACTAAAAGACCCTTCTGTGTTACACAAGGCTGTAGCAGGCTCATCAACCTTTACTGCTGTTAGAGTTGAGACAGACAACTGCATTGTCTTACAGCTGATAAGTGAGTGCTTTAAACCAACTCATTTACCCCAAGCCAATCAGTGAATCATTGGCCAAATTGGAAATGGTGGTTCTGGCTCCTAGGTTCTTGTTCTAACTAACCACCTGCCTTTCCCCCAAGGTCTTAATCCATAAAAGCAATTATCAACCATGTGACAAACCACCTGCCTTTCCCCCAAGGTCTTAATCCATAAAAGCAATTATCAACCATGACAGACTCTTACTTCTTCCTCTCCTTCTCCGTAGATGAGGCCACGTGCTATGACGATGGGAAGATGTACCACGTAGGAGAACAGTGGCAGAAAGAATACCTGGGTGCTATCTGCTCCTGTACTTGTTACGGAGGACAGCAGGTAGGTAGAACTAGTCTGGCCTGCTGTGATGAGGCATAGGATTGGAAAAATCAGGGTTTAGGTGATGGGAGAGAAAAAATCAGAGGTGAATCTCAGAAGTGCAAGTTGGCTTCCTTTGTGCCGTTTCCAGTGCACCACTTAGAGGTTCTCAAATTCCGGCCCCAGGCCATTCGTAGTCTCTGAAGATGGGTCACAAGGGGCTAGCTCATCTCCTGGCCAGCTGCTGAATTAGTCAGACTTGCCTAACATTTTTCCACACTAATGGCTTAGCGGGGATAGTCCTGGGTTCAGTCGGCAGGGATGTGGGAGATGCTATTGGGACTGAGGGGAGAGGTGTTCATGAAACAGTTTCCCTGTTGCACGGCAACGGCATCTGACTGGGGGATGTGTGTTTCCAAAGGGCTGGCGTTGTGACAACTGCCGCAGACCTGGTGCGGAGGCGGCCCCCGACGGCACTGCTGGCCACTCCTACACGCAGTTTTCACAGAGATACCACCAGAGCACAAATACTGTAAGTTGAGGCGCCCCCGTTTTTCATTGAGTCTTGCCTGGGGGTGGGGGAAGTGTGTATTAACTAAATTTCTCACAGGTACTCTCCTCACAAACCCACCCCCAGGGACTAAGGGTGGGGGGCTGGCCATACAACAGTACCTACCTGTAATTTAAGTGTGGGGAGCTCAGGGCGGGATGTGTGGGGTGGATGCAGGAGTTAGGACTGGGGCCGGGAATGCAGGAGTCCTAAAAACTTGGCCTTGTTTAGCAAAGAATACTCTCCTACTTTGCTGCATTTTCCAAACCTTCATGTTATGGCAAATCAATAGACTGGTTTGTTTGTAGTGAGAAATCTTAACAGCTGCAAATGCAAAGAGTTTGGCTGCCTCTCTCCGCTGAGATTATGAGGTCTCTAGCACTAATGGGTTTTCTTTCCTCCTGACAGAATGTCAATTGCCCGATTGAGTGCTTCATGCCCTTGGATGTGCAGGCCGACAGACAACATCGACCGGGAAAGTAACTCCCAGTAAGTCTTACAACACCGACCCAAACTGATCAAGGTGACCATCCAAACTGGGGTGATGCTTGCAAAACCAGATCTTCGAGAACGTCCTTCTGCTCCAGAGTCACTTACCCAGCTTAAGCTCAAACTCACAGCTTCTCCAAGCATCATGCTTGGACTGTTTCAGACTTTTCTCAGTGTATTGTCTCTTTTCTCAGTGTTCAATACCATTCAGTATTTTCAAATGAAAGACGCTAAATTGGGAATTGGTTGGAGATCAAAATAATACCAGTAGAGTGTGGAGGGGGAACAAATGGGACAGAATGCCCCCATGCCATGCAAACAAATTAATGAGAATGACTCTACAGGAAAGTACACTGCACACTTTGTTTCCACCAATGTGTGCGGCCAGCAATAATCTAGTGACTGCATACTCCATCACTGTGATACTTAAAATATGCACAGTCCTAATTCTTTCTAAATGATCCTATTATTTTTCTAGCTGTATCTTTGTATCTCATACTGTTATTTATCAATTTTGTTCCCCGTCCCTCAAGTGTTTTTATATGAGGAAAAAAATGCATTGACATTTAGTATGCAGTTGACAGAGGAATTGGGTGTAATTATGATCGGTGATTATTTTTATACTGTAAGTGCCAAAGCTCTACTACTGTGGAAAGACAACTCTTTTAATAAAAAGATTTACAAACCAACTGATCAGTGATTTTTTTTTTAAATTTCATTTGTGGTGTTGCAGAGAGGCTCAGGGAAAGAAGGGGTACGGTGGAATAGCTTTGATTTTGGAAGTAAGGGTGCATCTACACTGCATGGCTATTTCGGGATACCAGAGGTATCCTGAAATAGTGCGCCCATTATTTTGAAAATTTTTCGAGATGACGGGCAGCTTGTTAAGATGCGGGATAGCTATTTTGGCATCCTGGTAAACCTCGTTCCACGAGGATTAAGTGATGTCTGGAAATAGCGCATTATTTTGAAATTTGGCGCTGTGTAGACCCACATTTTGAAATGAAATGCACATTTTGTGCTACTCAAATTGAGTATCTTATTTCAAGTTTAGGGTGCTGTGTAGATGCACCCTAAGATAGGACAGCCATCTCTGCAATATGAACCTAAAAAGAGTATTTGCTGATTGCTGCTTTTTCTTTGAGAACTAAGAAAATATTTGAATGACAGTAGCCTCAACACACCAGTGGAACTCAAAGCAGCATGGAGTTAGGACAAATCCCACAGAGCTAGTGAGTGAGTGTTTCAAGCCAGAGCCCATCTGATATCACACAAAGGAAGTCTCTCTTTTTTTTTTTTTTTTTTAAATACAGGAAACTGAAGAATAAATAGCCTCATTTCAACAAGGTACTTAAATATGTGACTAGCTTCAAGCACTTGTATTCTCTCATCAATTATAATTGAACTACTGACATGCTTAAATGTAGCCATATGCTTAAATATTTGCTGTACTCACATGATTCACCCAGGATGTCAAAGGAAGTAGCAAAGGCAGGAACTGAACCTAAGTCTCTGAAATCAGGCCTATTCCTTAGATACACAATTGCCCATACAGCGTAAGCACTGGGGGAAGATTATAAATTATCTTAATTTCCCTCTCCTTATAACTATGGATGGAGGATAATTCAGTCGCTCATTTCTGAGCACACAAAAAAGATACCTGCCTCAAAGAATTTAGATTCATACTTCACTCCTCTTCCAAAAATAGGCTGCTGCATCTGTATTATTCTCAAAACTGCAAATTAAAAAAAAATCAAAATGCAGCCTAGTTTGTTCAAATACTCTTGCTAGTAATGGATCTCACCTAATGAGAGATTCATAATACATATCATTTTTTTTTTTTTTTTTTTGGAACCTCAGCAGAAATTCTCTACAATTAGGGAAGAGAGCTATAGAAAATGAAAACAGGGCAAAGAAAGGAACAGCTGTTTCTAAACCGGTTACAACTGTGGAATATTTGGAAGAACGCTTTGCTGTGATCTTAAGTAAATGAAAAATGTTACAATCCGAGCACAGCGATTAGCTCTTATTCAGAAGCTTCCTGGCTTATGATTTCTATTTCCTATTGAAAAGATGCATCTGAGACCCACCCTAGTGAGGGACTTTCTGGTGTTGCCTGAAACTGCAGTTTTACAGTCAGATACTCAATTTTACATTCATGCAGCAAGCTACCACAAAGTTAAAAACACTATCCCATTAGAACTTTAAAAAAAGCCAAATCAGTTGGATTGCAATGAGTTAAAGGAAAAATAAGACCCTTCGGTTTGTACTGTCTGCACTGAAAAACCTCAAGATCAACACTTACGAGGAAATACCTACTGGGAAAGTTTCCCTCGTGATTCCTCCAGCCAAACTCCACACTCAGCCCCACAGGAGTTGCACTATTCTAGTGAATGGAATTACTCTGGATTTACTTCAGTATGGAACAAGAATGGAATCTGGCTTCTTGCCATGAGAAATATGGCAACAGACAGAAATCTGCTAAACCGATGGCTATCAGGCAGCTGAATTGTTTGCAACTAGTAAAATTGTTGCAGTGAGAATAATGGGTTATTGTTCAAATAGGATAAGCTAAGTAACTAAACTACACCAGTGTCAGGCTTAGAACTAGAGAGAAAATTAATTTAAAAGAAAACTAGAGTTCCATTGTGATATCAGTCCCAAGCTGCATTATTCATATCCATCCTGACCTCACTAGAGAAATCTATGCATTTATGACCATACTTCTAGATAAGAGGCAATAAATCCTGCATGATTGCCAGACCGGGGTCAGCCAATACTGCAAGAAACCCTTATGGGATAAACTGTTCTAAGAACATTTCCATCTGACTGATCCCAAAAGTTTCAGAGGGGCAGCCGACTTAGTCTGTAAGCGTAGGCCTACATTGCATTCCTCCTTTGAGAGAGGAATGCAAATACAGACACAAGAAATTGCAAATGAAGCACGGATTTGAATTTCCCATGCTTCATTTGCATAATTGCAGCCAGACGCTTTTCCGAAATACCCTATTTCGAGGAAAAAAAAACATGCTCCACATGAGGTTATTTTGAAGAGACACGTTTCCTTCGAAATACACCTTAAATGAGGAATAAGGGTTATTTTGAAGGAAGGGTTTTTTGAAATAACCCCGTTTTTTCCCCTAGAAAAACGGGGTTATTTCGGAAAAGCGGTCAGCCGTGATTATGCAAATGAAGCGCTGGAAATTCAAATCCGCACTTCATTTACAATTTCATTTGTCTGCATTTGCATTCTTTTCTTGAAGAATGCAATGCAGACATATCTTAAGTGGAAACTTAAACAACAAACAGAAGGATCGGAAATTATACTTACCACGTGTGCAGGCTGGCCAGAAAATAAATTTTTCCAAATGGGGAGAATTTAAGATTTCAAAAGATTTTTCCCATTCCAAATTGGGACAAAGTTTAAAAAAAAATCTCTACCGTTTTTCATACACTGGCCTTTTTTTCCCTCTTTTTTTCATTTGAGTTCCCTGAAATGTTTCCTTTTGCTATTTTAGAAACGCTATATTTGCAATCTGACCTAAAACATTTTCTAAAGTCCATTAACTTGCAAAACAAAAAATTGTTTGGAAATGAAAACCAAAACTTCAAGCAGGATAAATGTCAATCTTTCCCCCAAACATCTTTGAAGCTAGCCCAGCCCTGCAAAGTTTCAGTTTTGACAAGCTGGCATTTTTTTGCCACAAAACATTTGCTGGCACTAGGCCCCTTGTGAATTCAAGCGAACAGGCTCAACCTGTCTTGATACAAGCCTCCAAGCAGACAGTAGCAGAAGGTATGGCACTGACCACCCTTCCCGCCATTAGTCTCATTAATACTGACCAATCAGAGCTGTGAGAGCAGAGTAGCAGAACTCAGGGCATGCAGGGGTCCATGTTGTAGCTGTAGGACCGTAACTCGGGGAACATGATACCCTGCTTGGGAGAACTGATGGGTAGCAGCTGCTAGGAGGACAGCATAACCAGGCGTATGTTGGTACACAACGCAGTGAGGGAAAGCACAGACTAATCAGGGTCTCTTACTACACTCCACTAGTTGAAACCACCTTGCTTTGCTCATTTCAAACCCGCTTGGATAAAGTGCCCACAAAAACAGGGCAGGGAATGAAGCTGGCTGCTCTGGCAGGAAGTAAACTGGACACCTCAGAACCGAAGTCTTTCTAGCCTAGATACCGATGTAGGAAATCTGATTTGAAGTCTCCTGGTACGAGAGCCAAGCATGTCAGATTGACAAGAACTGGTGTTTCCCCTTTCACCTCTAAGATAGCAATTCAACACCCTGCCCTGCGGCAAAAACTCCTCCACAGCTGGATTTGGTGTACTGACCTTGAACCTACCTTAGATACAGGGCCGATAACATAGGCTCAGTAGAGAGAGAGGATAGTGGTTCAGACATGTTGAGAAAAAGCTGCTGGCCCATAGATAATCTGTGTCATTTCAGTTAGTAACACAGATTTTTATCAATTCCTTACAAATGGGGCTGTAAAGCAGACAGACTTCCCTCGTGTTTCACCAGCTCTTTAGCAAACTGGTAAAATCTGGCTGTAAAATTTACCTCCTAGAATGAAGCCTCTTTTCCCAAAAACACACTTAAAACAGTGGGGAACTGCGGGTTTATTTTCTAAAGAAATTATTCCTTTGTGGGAATCAACTTCTTCTTGCTTTCATTTGCAGCCAGCGGCAGGGGCTTTGTTTCTGGATGAGTCCAGGATACTCTACCCCGTGGGCAGGCTGGGTTTCCAGGCTGAACCGGTGACATTACGGCCGCGGCTTGTGCGGAGTGAGTGACAGCCACCGGCCATGACAGCCCAGGGTGGAGTCAGTGATGGAACAGCCGCAGGTTGGTGTGAATGAGAGTTATTCCCAGCTCGTTGCACGCTTCGATCACGACTTGGTCGGCAGCTGAGCCAGAGGGGGCAGCAATGAACTGGACTCCGCTCTGGACAAAGATTGGGAGAAGCAAAAGGTTAAGAGATGAAAAGCAAAAGGAACTGCACAGCGAAGCCACGAAGCAGGGTACAACCTGCGCAGGCTCCTGCTCTGCTCTAGTTCAGATCGTCCACCCCCAAACTCGCTCTGTATGCCTGCGGTGCAATTCAAAACTCATGGCCGGCCCGGGCTGTGGGGATGTTTAACTGCAGTATAGAATTCCAGGCTTGAGGTCTGGGACCCTCTCACCCCACAGGATCCACGCTGGGACATCTGTGCTGTAATTAGAGAGCCCCTTAGCCTGAATCAGCTGGCAGGGGCCAGCCGCAGATATAGACGGACCCTAGGAGTCCTAGATATGGACCAGAACCCCACAGCGCTGGGGGCTAAACAGCCACAGTAGAAGAAGATGGTTTCTACCCCAAGGGGAGACACATGTGGGGCTGCGGCAGGCAGGGAGTCTGTCCGAGGATCCCGCTGAGCCGTGGGACGCTGCATGCCCATGGTATCGTGGCACAGCGGATCTGGCGGGCCAGATTCAGCCCCCGGGCCATATTTTACCCACTCCTGGCCAATGTCAGTGGCGATTATCGGACCCCGCTCCATGGGGAACCGGTGCTCCAGAAAACACTTCCCTTAGAACTCAGTTGTTCTAGTCAGCCCGTTTCAAGGACAATGTGTATAAAATGCCGGAACATTCTTCAGTGCAAGGAATTAGCCCGGAAACAAAGCACCCAGGCATTCCCTCATGTCAGCCTGACGCCCGGGCCTCCCCACGGCCTTACCCGTTTAGCTCGGTCCACGTTATCCCGAAAAGGGAAGAAAGCGTCCGAGCTGAGGGAGACGGCATCAAGCTGGCCAATCCATTCCTTCTTCTCCGCCTCCGTTAACTGGGCGGGAACCTCCTCGAACACGGCCCGCCACTTAACCAGATCCTCACCCTGCAGGAGCAGAGATTATTTTCACACAGGTTTCCCCCTCTAGACAATGACTTCAGCAGATGGACATTGGCCTCACTAAGCAAAAAACCCTAATCCGGCCCCGGTTATTACCCCTGGCGTCCTAGGGGCTAAGAGTGCAAGCACACTTAGCATGGTGAAAACAAGGAATTCTTCCTCTCCCTCACAGAAAATCAGGCGCTATGATGACAGACTGGAATAAAGGGGGTGGGGAGGAAGGGACTAAGGAACAGGCCCCCCTCAGGAGTCAGGAATCCCTGCCCCGAATATTTGTCAACACGGCTCCCACCGGAAGCTCCGCATCAGCAAAGCCTGGCTCGCGGTGAGGAAAAGTCCTGGCCCGTTACCTCGCCGATGGTCCCGGTGACATACTGGTCGATGGCATTGGAGATCTCTGCCCTCTTCACCCCGGCTTTGAACCTCATGGCGAGCACACGGGGGTGGTGTCTGAGCCACCAGTGGTTCGCCTTGTCGCCGGCAAGACGCGTGCAGTGGATGCGGGACTGCTGGCCTGCCCCCATACCGATAACCTGAAGCAGAACACGGTAATGAACGCGCCCATCTCTGCACTGGGGCCTTTATGCGAGCGGCACTAATTCCAGAGCAATTAGAGAGACACACAGCTTCTGGGGGGCCCTTCCTTCACGAGGGCAGAGAACAGCCTCAGAGTCCGTCCCCAGATGGTGGTGATTGCCCTAAAAATACCTCAGCCCTTCATCCTGCCTTTGGGACAGATCCTGGCACTTAGGACTCCACCAGGCCTCCAGAATGGGGTTCTCCAAGAGCACTTTTACCCATGCACAACAAGAAGCAGGATGGGCACAAGTAACCAGGACCGGCACCTTGCTGAGGAGAACAGGCTCTGCCCATAAATATCTTTACGTCTTTCCAGGTTCAACTACTTACACCTTAATTCCCCACCCCACATTTACTCATTTCTTGCTCCCGTAACCTAAGAACTAGGGGGTCACCAAACAAAATTAATAGGCAGCAGGTTTAAAACAAACAGAAAAGAATTTCTTCACACAGCGCAGTCAACCTGTGGAACTCCTTGCCAGAGGACTTTGTGAAGACCAGGACTGTAACAGGGTTCAAAAAAGAACTAAATAAATTCATGGCGGATAGGTCTGTCAATAATTATTAGCAAGATGGGCAGGAATGGTGTCCCTAGCCTCTGTCTGTCAGAGACTGGAAATGAATGACAGGAGAGGGATCACTTGATGAGTCCCTGTTTCTGTTCACTCCCTCTGGGGCATCTGGCATTGGCCACTCTGGGCAGACAGGACACTCTGCTAGACGGGCCTTTGGTCTGTCCCAGTCTGGCCATTCTTATGTTCTCTTACTTTTGTTCAATCAGCTAGATCTCAGACACAAAGCCTACCTGATCCCATAAGGATGTTTGTGTGTCACACTCACTCAGTGCGTGCTGGTTACTGGTTATTATTTGTGCTACCATAGCACCTAGGCGCCCTAGTCACGGACTGGATAGTTAGCGTGCCGAGAGCTGGAGAAATGGACAAGTGGAACCCGGCGTGCAAAATTTAGCACTTTCTGCCAAGGGAGTGAAACTGCCGAACCACGAAAAGGTCTGATGTAGGTTTGGCTTTCATCTAAAAAGACAGGAATGAACAGGGCGGGTGAGGATTCTTGCCATCCTCCCCGTTTTGGGAAAGAGAATTCAGGTCTGTGTCCAGACCACCCACACGAGTGTGATCTTTCCAATGCCACCGTGATCGGCATGGTAGAGACCGCTCTAGAGAGCTTAGATGCAACGTCTGGCCCATTGCAAATAAGCCCCAATCTTAGTAGGAGAAAAATAAAGTATTCACACTGGACAGCTGGTCTCTCACATCAGGGCTCCCCTTGAAACAGCAAAACGTTGCAGCTGCCAACACTCTTCCTGTTCTGCCAGCTGCCAGAAGGGAGGTTAAAAATAGCTGCATGCTAAGCCTAGCCCTTAGTTAGCGGGATTGCTGTTTAATACCAAACCGGGCCCCCGGGAATACTTCTTCCAGGAGCAACATTTGAAACGGGACTTTTCCAGCCACCGAGGATGAAAGAGGCAGTGTAGCCAGTGCGATGTCTCACTCAGTAGAGAGCTTTTTCCTTCCAGCTCGGTACATCCTGGAGTTCAAACTTTGGAGACTCTTCTGGTCCTGACAGCAGTTTGCACTGCTTAGCTAAGTGGGCCATTAACCCCACACCTCCATATGCCACGATGGGGCAATATTAAACTAGCACTAAAAAGCCACCCGCCGAAAAGGCTGCCCTCTCCATCTCCCCGCAAGCCAGAGGGCCCGTTGCACTTTTGCAACGTGGCTTTAGTCACAAATCCTGCCCACTCCGGCCCCAACAACTCCTGCTTTCTGCTGGGTATGTCACTCGCACCCCCAGGAGCAGCCCCCCTCCCCCTGGTCCACATGGGGGTTGAAACACTGGTATCACACAGAAGAGCATGCTGGGAAGTCATTGGCGCAAAAGCCACCGAGTCGCATGCTATCGGGACACAGCACAAAACAACGGACTAGGTGGTGTAGTTGTGCGCTGGCTGTCCCGTGTAGCCTGGTTCTTTGAGGGCATTCGCACACAGGGCGAGATTCGGCCCGGGCTTACTGCTGCTGGCCCCACACCCTTCAGTTGTGTGTGTGTCTATCTGTCTGAGGTATTAATGTGGCCCCCATCCTTGCAGTATCTGAGCTCTCTCAGTCCTCCAAGAAAGACCCCCACCGCACTACTGGCAATGCTGTTAGTCCCATTTTACAGATGGGCACGGAGGCACAAACGCTATGGACCTGTGGGTGCCCCATGTCCACTGATTTTAGGCACCTCGCAGAAGCACTGTGCGCCCCAAACTGGAGGGGGAAGGGTGAATGTAGGCGTAAGAGGCTGGTTATTCCACCTGGAGGGCAAGCCAGGCCTGAAGAAAGATGAAGCCCAGCAGAGGAAAAGCTGGCTGAGGGGAAAAAGCAGAGGCCGCTCAGAAAGAGGCTGCAGGGAGGGAACAAACAACTCTTGGCAGCGGAGAGACCTGACTGAAGAGTTAACCAGCCTTGCTAGCGTGGAGGACGGCGGTGGAGATGCTGTGTTGCAGGTCCTGGCTAACGCCTCAGACTTTCCGACTCAGCGAGACGGCAACAGATGTGAAAGCGATACGCCAAAGGCAGCGTAGAAAGAGATGGATCGTTTGCCTTTTCCTTCCTCCAGATGCAAGGACTTCACCTTTCCCCAAAGGCATAAAACACACCTCCCTCAAAGAGTAAAGGAAAGATCTGGGTTGACACCCAATTATCATTTGTTCATAATGAACTTACTGGTATGGTCCCAAAGGGGTAGCCATGTGAGTCTGTAACGTTAAACACAATGAGCAGTCCTGTGGCCCCTTAGAGAGACACAAATATATATCTAGTATCCTGAGCTTTTGTGGGCCAAGCCTACTTCCTCAGATGAGATGATCTCGAGGGGAGGGCCACCCACAAAAGCTCATGATACTCTCTACACTTGGAACCTGACAAGACGTATTAGCGGCCATTCTGGCTGAGTGTACTCCCGTGAAGCTGTGCTGTGTGGTTACCTGACCGTTCTTAGCATAGCAAACCGAATTGGACTGGGTGTACTTGACAGCGATGGTGGCCACAATCAAATTTTGGACAGCAGACTCCGGCAGCTGAAACAATGGAAAGGGATAGTGAATGGACTGCTTACTTACACGGGATTTGTAACATTCTGCTATTGGCTCTACACCAGCACACCCAGAACTACTGCATGTACTTATACAGTACTAAATGACGACAACTAACCGATCTGATGGTCTACTAATGTCATCAGTTTTTGTAGCCCAAACCAACCCTACACTCAGGTCCCACCAGTCAAACATGGTCCCTAATCCTGAAACTATTCATGCACTTGCTTAACTCTACACAGGTGAGTTGTTCAGATGAATTCACCACAGGGCGAACCTCTCTAATCTGGCACTTTCTGGTCCAGAAAAATCCATGGTCCGGCATTTTAGTGAGCCGGATGTCCACTTATCATGGGTGTGGCCAAATTTCCCGCAGTCCCGTAAAGTTTGTTTATAACCCCCAGTCCTGGCTCTCAATGTTCTGTGCTGTTCTTTAACTCTAATTCCTCAATGTCTTCTCAGCACTCAGTAAGCAGTGGAAATGTTGGTAATGCTGCTAGAAAAGACTGACCTGCAATCCGTTAAATTCTCTGGTTTGGCACTAATCAGGTCCCTAGGGTGCTGGACTAGAGAGGTTCAACCTGTACTCACGTGGTCCAAGCTAATCGTGTGCTTACGTATCTGCCCGACCAAGACCACAGCTTGAAAAGCTTGTCAATTTTATTTTACACTCGTTCCGCTACTAATTTGTTAAACTGTTTTCCATTTGCCACGTTATTCAACTCACCTCGACGTGTTTGACTGTTTCTACATTCATATGTGTCTGCTATTTTACAGCGTGAAAGCAGAACACATTTAAAACACATGGAGCTAACGTGCCCACTGGTAATGTGGAAACCATCTGCAAATGGAAGAGTGGTCTAGCAGTTTACACAATGCAATGCCAACAAAGGAGACTACTAAACTGTGACTTGGAATGACAATGGTTTCTTCACCATATGGCTGTGGAACTATGAACATTTAAAGAGCTTCCCACTTACAATCTCGATAATGAACAATAAAGAACTTCTTTTACTCAGTAGCTACAATGAAGACAATGGCTCTGTTTGCATGACTAGATTTTGCTGACAGCCACTTACGCTCTGCCAGAACATTGTAAGGTCACGTACAACAGAATTTCACTTCCTCTCCTGACTGGAGCCCACCAGTTCGCCCAAGCTCACCTCTCACCAATTCCCTTCCACTTACATTTTTGTTTTTGCTAACGATGTTCTTGAACAGAGAGCGGTCAATAACACCATTGTTCCTCTTCTGCGCGAGATGCAAACCAAAGAGAGTCCGCACCTCGTTCTCATCTGGCTCGTAATCCAGCTCCATCTGAAAGCAGACAAATAGAAAGTAGTGAACTTTCCGATCCAACTCCCAGCAACGGCCCTCTCAAGTCGGACTTCCTGCAGGAGTTTGCTTGACAGAAACGTCAATTGTTTCCACAATCCGAAAGAGAGGCGGGGTACGAGGACGGGATGCCAAAACACAGGTAGTACCAGCAAACTGCAGCACCAATTTATTAGCACCAGAGTAGGAAGTATCACTCCAAGGGAGAAGACAGGGGAGAGGAGCAGGCTCACTGGATGTTTAGAGGATAGGGATGACTATGACCCATAAAGATCCACATGCAGAAAGGACCCGCACAGAGCTGCCCACGCCCAAGAAGAGGGCAGCCACCTTTGTAGACTTCCCCCACCTTTGAAGGGGCATAGATACAGCATAGGGTAGGCTCGGGGAATGTGCATTGTCCTTCCACTCGAACCCTAACTCAAACACCAAGCATAATGTATCTCCACAGGGAAGTCAGTGACAAGCCGAGATTGATGCTCTCCTACACTGGAGCTTTACCAGTTACCATCCCTGCAAAACTGATTAAACTTGGGAAGAACCAGCCTCCAAGACAGCGCCTGAGCCATCTTCGAGCGATCCTTGGTTAGTAACCCTTGGAATTCCGTATGTGCTGTGGGAGGGAGTGAAGAGAGGCAGCCTGGCATCACCGGAGTTAAACAAAGCCTTCGGGCTCAGCTAGCCCCACCCCACTTTACCTATAGCCAATGCCAGGCCTGGCGGGAGGATAAAAGGAAGGAGCCTGGCTCAGTTAGGGGCTGACCAGCGAGGAGACAGGAGCGTGGTTCCGCAGTCTGCAGGACCTGGGCCAGAGCCCGCTCAGCTGGCCAGCCCCAGGAAACAGTAAAACTCCAACCCCACCTGCCCTGGGACAAAGGGGGAGAGGGAGCTGCTAGAAACCTCCCTAAGAGGGGAAATCTGGACTTTTGGGACCACGCCCCAAACTTAAGGACTGTACTAACATAGCGGGCTGGAGTTCCTAGTCCTGGGGCACCAGCGACAGGGGTCTGCATCCCTTTCCCGTTAACTGATTCCGGGGCCTAACCACTAGACTACCCTGCTGCTGGGGAGACCTGGCCACATGCTGCTACTTAGGTTCTTAGCTCACCTGTGCATGGGATAGGAACTACCCAGGTACAGTATAAAACCTCCTCAAGAATCCACAATGAAACTGGCAGAATTTACAGTCTCATGTGAGCATGGGGATGGTAAATTTGCATGATCTGGCAGTATTGTATTAAATATTTGACACGCAGAGTTACCAACATACCATGGAATCACGTAGTCCCATCGGGGACAAACGGCCTGCAGTGTGCGCATTCCTCATCACATGGGATTCAAATGTATCTCTTAAAAAACGGCTTGTCGCTGTCTTTGGCCTTACCGAGAAATTGACTTCAAGATCACACAGACATTGTTTTGTTGTTTTAAAAGTCCACATGCGCTGATGTAACCAATTGCTCATTATGGGCATCTCCATTATTAATGACAAAGCTGGTGAATTTCACAGATGACAGGGGAGGAGTAGCTGAGTGCTTCAAATGTATCTCTTAAAAAACGGCTTGTCGCTGTCTTTGGCCTTACCGAGAAATTGACTTCAAGATCACACAGACATTGTTTTGTTGTTTTAAAAGTCCACATGCGCTGATGTAACCAATTGCTCATTATGGGCATCTCCATTATTAATGACAAAGCTGGTGAATTTCACAGATGACAGGGGAGGAGTAGCTGAGTGCCAGGAACAAGGAGGCGGGGGCGGGGGGGGGGGGGGGGTTCAGGAAAA